GACATAGGGGTAAACTCCCTTCTCTCGTCGAATAGTGCTATCGGGATCATTAACGTCCATCTGGACGAGTGCTGCACGTAGACAGGAACTTGGTTTGTCATATCCGAAGGACGGCACCTCCGACAATGCGGCAGACAGCACAGGAATACCAGGGTGGATTATAAACTGTACATAACACGGCTTGAACCCACACCGTACTGACTCGGGTGAGAGCGCGACCAGCTGAAACAGATCGAGCTCATCAGCTGGGGTCCAGGCTGATTTCCCTGATTATCTGAACACAAGCCGATCGCAGCAACACCACTGCTCCCCACAGACTGGGTCCTGATCTACTGCTCACTAATCACTCCCCATTCTTTCCATCCCATTATCAAGCCCCATCCTGTACCATTCCTCCTGGTCAAAATGCCTTAAAAATCTCTCTTATCTTTGACTGTGCATCTCATCATCCCTTATATCTCCCCCCCCTTTTCTTTGCCGGGTGTTCACCGTTATATCTGTCGAGCCCTTAAAGAGTTATTCATGAAAGTGCAAGTTGTTGCTGAGGCCCTTCAAGCACCGGTTTGGCTCAGGTGGTTACTGAATAAACTTGCAAATATATCCCCTCCAGCAATCGGAAGGGAAGCAAAGTTGCTGAATTTCCACCAGGGATTTTCTTTTAACTACCATGACTCGAGCGAAAGCGAAAACATCCAGGCAATGCAAGCTTGTCCAAGCAGATATCTGCGTCAATGATTCCTGAACTTAGGAATGTTTTGTTTCTCGGTTATCTACGCACAATACCAAAAAGTGTGCGCGTGTGAGCGAGAGAGAGAGAGAGAGAGAGAGGCGCACACACACACACAAACAAAGCATCCTCAGCCACAGCTATGCACCACTGCATTGCTTCACAGATCAATGTGGGATGCAAATCATTTGCAAAGCACTAAGTTTTTTTTAATGCTAAGAGCGGAGTAATGTGGCACGCGAGAGGGAATGGACAGTGAGTCACACAATCCACCCCGTCTTAGGACAACAACAGCAACAAATTACATTTGCATAGCACCCCTCGCGTCAGGAGGACGTCCCAAAGGCGCTGAACATTCAGGGATCCACACACACAACACGAATGGGGTTAATGCACGGGCACGCAGAACATTTGCCACAGTAGCCCAAACTGTTGCCTTAGTTTTCCCTCGGTAGGGAAAAAACGGCAGGGCTACAATAAGGAGTGGGCGAGCAAAGGGGCAATGCCTCGCACAAGGGTGAGCAGAACACTTCCTCCTCTTACTTCAACCGATTCCCAGACCTCACGTCACCCACGGAGCAACGTAAATCAAGCACATCTGATCGCCATCTCAGAATGGTTACAAAGGAAGAGGATTGAACCATCTGAAGAGGGACCGACCACCGTCACCATAATATCAAAGGCGGCAGCAGGACGGACTAACAGGCCTGGAAAACGCACACTAACCTCAGAAGTTGTAACTCAGCCTGACCTTTCCTATTTCAAAGTAAGCCGTGTTTATGCTGGTATAAATTTTCCAAGCCTCCCGTGTAAACCCCGGCGTTAATCTACAGCCGTCCTTAAAAGAGAGAGACGAGCATAAAAACTAATGTATCTAGATTCCTGCAAACCCACATCCTTGTGTGGTGGGGGGGGGGGTTAACTGCCTGCCTGATATAAATCATTTTCTCCAACCCACTGGAACCCCATGATAAGACGCTACATCAAATGCAAGGATTATTATTATTATTATTCGGTTGGCGGGGGTTTAATCTCCCTGCTGGCTAGCCTGCTTTATTTACCGTGCCAGTTCCAAACAGGTTGTCGAAATTTAACCTGGGTGAAATTTCAAATAGATAAAAAGCAGCTGCCGTTCACAGGGTAGCGAGCGAGAGAGAGAGAGAGAGAGGGCACACATGCAAACAAGGGCACTTACTTATCCAGCTCGTTATTATTTACGTTGGCAACGGTTGACTTAAGCAATTCAATTCTGGTGACTGTGCTTTTGAGGGAGGGGAGGGAGGGAGGGGATAGCTCCTCTGGTAAGGTGCTGTCTGCTCCTTCTCTACGCCTGAAGTGATACACTCAAAACAGCTTGTTTTCTGACATGGAGCATTCTTGGATAAGGCCACACAATGGTGCTCCCCTGAGCAGCAGGGAGGAGAAACTGGGAGCCCAGGCTAAACAAAGAAACGTTTCAGCCCCCTCAGGCCCCTAACTGCGGTAAAGAGGAGAGCTCCATTAGATAGCTAGCAACTATGTGATGCATTCCCTCCCCCCACACCCACACCCACACACAGAAGGGATTTGCTTCACAGAATACTGAAGGATAAGGCAACTCTTGGTATACATATATATAAAAAATAAATTGGTCACTTCAATCCACGACTGTTTATGGGACGCCTCTGTGCCCAATTGGCTGCCGCGTTTCGCCCACAAACTATACAGTCAATCCACTTTGCAGTGTATCCCGTGAAGCACTTTGAAACGTCTCGAAGAAGCGATAAGGAGCTGTATCAAATGCAAGGATTATTATTATTCAACGGCAAATTACACTTGTATAACGCCTTTCACGTCAGCAGGACGTCCCATTTCGGTTAAATTGTGTCTTTCCATTTACATCCCAGCAGAAAAATCAGCCACTTTTTTTGTCTTTCTTTTAAATTCACATTTTGTTTAAAAAACCGCTCACCTATTTCTTCTCTCACATTTCCTGTCCCTCTTCTGCTGAAAGTGATGACTCAACACTTGTGGTTCAGTACGATTGCCCATAGGCAGGCGGCGCTTATGGGGACAGCACCTGCAACCCAACATCACTGGCTATTTGTGCTGGGGTGTGGGTAAATCACACGCAAGCCCATTCCAATTCCCCCCCCCCCCACCAAACACGTGCAGTACACTGGTCAGTGATCACATTTCAATCGGGTTTGTATCCAACTTTCACACTTCCAAGCAGAAATTTACTACAGCGATCAGGAAGGAGCCTTTGCTAATAACCCCCCCCCCCCCCCCCCGCCCCACCACTCCACAGCCCAGGGTGCACTAAGGCTGCATTTAATACCAGCCCCTTATCACGTCGTTGAGATGCCTCAAAGCGCTTCACAGGGATACACTGTAAAGTGGAGTGACTGTGTATTGGGACCATTCACGCATCCTCTGGGTCTTAAGATGCATCTTTTCTTTCTGTAATCTCCCACGATTGCCTTCTTTTGTCTTGCATGGTCAACACCACTGTGCCCTCGTCATCTTCTGCCCCCCTCCACCTACCTAAATTTTGCCTTTTGTCTTTCTTTCCCCGCCCCCTTCTCTGCTTGTGTCCTTATAACTCACTCCCTTCCAACATCCCCCAGTTCTGACAAAAGGTCATCGGCCTGAAACGTTAACGAATATAAAAAGGCTGACAATACCCCGTCACAAAGGTGGAAATTGCTCCCAAGTCAACGTTAATGATTTACAGCAGCGCGTATGAAGTCCAAGATTGTTTGCGTTTATACTTCTTCTCGAAGCTCTCCGAAGGTTCTCACATTTGAGTTTCAGAAGAGGGGACTGTTCTGTAAGAGTAATTCTTCCAGTCCACCTTCCAGAGTTTCGATTCAGTCAGTACATCACAGCGAAATCGGCTTTAAAACCCAGTCACTGATTGGGAACCGTAACAGACCACAAGTTGCCTACTCTGCAATCTGGAGAGCGACCCTGAGCACTGAACCGGAGGAACGATGAACTCAATGAATTCTGAAAACAGCACAAGCCAGTGTCTTTTTTTTGGGGGGGGGGTAAAGAGTAAAAAAAGCTTTCAGTCCCCCCAGTTAACTCAACTTGTGAGAATAAGCAGTGTAACCACATTGAGCATTGAGACGAGAATGGTTACAAGAGTTCAGACGTCTACAGTAAACTTAATAAAAATATTTCCTGGCATTTGATACAGTGTCTCATCACGTCTTCGAGTCGTCTCGAAGCGCTTCCCAGAATATGCTGTAAAGTGAATCGATTGTACATTTTGTGGGCAAAACGCGGCAGCCAATTGCGCAGAGCGGCGTCCCACAAACGGGCGTGGATCGAGGGACCGAATTCGGACATACTTGTGTCGAAAGACAACAACGAAAAACTTTCTGCACGAGCGTGAGAAGACTGAAGCGAACCTAAAAATGAACAGCAAAGCATTTGGGACCATCGCATTGGGTCTCAGAGGAAAGGAAAAGCGAGGAATATCCGCAAAACTACAGATATGTAAAGACTGGTTAGCAGTCACTGAAACCCTGCAGTAAAACACGTTGCCTTAAAATCAGTCACTGAAAGGCATGATGCTTTATCACGTGGACTTCTTTCTGCTCTCAGCTGGGCAAAACAAGTTGTTTTTTCCCCCCTTCCCCCACAAAGTTGAGTTGTGTCTCAAAAAACTGATAGGGCCAGTCAGTCTCAAGTCAATTGTCTGCCTTCCTTAGACAATAGATTTGGGAATAACTGATGCAATGCTTTTTTTATCATCTCAAGTTGTACGGAATTCAAGGGGGGAAAAAAAAACTACGGGCCATCCAAAACATCTGGCCTCTTGGCACACAACTCTTGTGTAGCCGGAGCCTGATGATGAGCTCAGAGGGACATTTTTTTCCCCCCGCAACGATTATATTTTCATTTCAAAACAGTTTTTTTTAAAAAAAAAAGAAACGGGTGCCTGGAGATCCCATGAACCTTCAGACAAAACGTAGGTCATTTCCAGATACCAAACAGCGAGTGAAAAACCATCTGAGGGGTTTCCCCACTCTGTGGATGGCCTATGTGGATACCAAAGAACGTGAGGCAAGGTGTACAACGACAACATGCGTTTACATAGCGCCCTTCATGCCGGGTAGAGTCCCAGAGCGCTTAACAGTGGCCGAGTCTGACCCCGAGCCAGGGGTGTACAGTGTAATAGAATCATAGAGTCTTACGGCACGGAAGGAGGCCATTCAGCCCATCATGCCTGTGCCGGCTTTTTCAAAGAGCTATCAACTACCCCCACTCGCCCCGCTCTTACCCCATAGCCTGGCAAATGTTTCCTCTTCCAAGTACCTATCCGGTTTAAAAAAAAATGAAGAGTTAAAAATGAATGGGTAGCAGCCCTTTTCACTTATTTACCCTCCCCCCGGGGAAAAAAAATTGTGCCAGGATTATGGCTTATAGCAACAGGGCAGCCCGGCGCAAGCTGAAATGAATGCACATTTACAAACTATTTACAAACACTCGTGTCATGAGGGAGATAGGAAAGAACATTTGCAAAGGACATTTCACATCACGACCACAGGAGGTCCAATAATGCCACACGTGAACGAATGCCCCACTTCCATCGCCCCCCCCAAACCAGCACTTTGCTTTCATTCACCCCACCCAAGTGGATCCAAAAAAAACAAACCTGGACGAAAAAAAATATCCAGGGTCTTGGTGCAAAATACACAACAGCCACAGAGCACAGAAAGCGGATCAGGGCATAAATCACAATTTGATTGCTCAGGGGGGTAAACAGCAGAGTTAGTGTGGATGGCATTCCATGATTACACACCACAATATCCATCCATCCTCTTTGTACTATATTCCACTGCACAACTCTGCCTCCTGTGCACACACAGACACATACAGACACACACACACACACAGATAGACACAGACACATAGACAGACACATACACAGATAGATACAGACACAGACACACACACAGATGCATAGACACACACACAGACACATAGACACACACACAGATAGACACAGACATATACACACACACACACAGATAGACACAGACATATACACACACACACACAGATAGACACAGACATATACACACACACACAAATAGACACAGACATATACACACACACACAGATAGACACAGACACATAGACACACACACAGACACATAGACACACACACATATAGACACAGACACATAGACACACACACAGACACACACATACAGACACATAGACACACACACACACACAGATAGACACAGACACATAAGACACACAAGAGACAGAAACCCAAACAAGTTTACCAAACACACGGTTCTCAATTAGAAATGGGGACACACACACAAAAAAGGGGGAAAGCTCCTTTACTCCCTCCAGGAGCTGACCCAGGCTGGGGGGAGGGGGGGGGGGTTACAAACTCCCCCCAACACCATCACCCCTTTAAATGCGTGACAGCAAAAAACTAACCATGAACTCGTACGAGAAGCCATTGGGATTTAAAACCAGAGAGAGAGAGAGAGAAGTTATCTGTTTCATCTAAGATAGATTCTTTACCCCCTTCCTCTCCCCCCATTCCAAACACACACACACACACACACAAGAGACAAAGATGTGCTTACATTCCTGATTACAGTCGAGGGTGGGGTGGGGATTGGGGGGGGGTTCAGGACACCATAAATCTGTTTTTTTTTACACAGGAGACAAAGTCAAAAGTGCCAGAAATATAAACAAGACTTATTTATACTTCAGGATTAATGACGTCCCACAACATCATAATTACCCCACATCATGTCATCATACTATTTTAACATTTATGAATGTGGCCCAAACCAAAAAAAAAACATCAGACACAGACAGACAGACAGAGAGAGAGAGAGAGAGACTGAGAAAAAATACCTCGAGAAATAAATCTTCTAACCTTTTGCTAAAGAAGGAAATACTGGGTTTTCTAACTCCCTTTGGAGTATCGCAGCTCAACAGAAGCGCTACAAATCTGAGCTATTAATAATCTTTGGCCCATTGACAAAAATGTTCCCCACTTCTTTTTTTACAGAGAAGCAAAAACGTTCAGAATAACCTTCCTCTCCCCCCTCTCTCTCTCTCCCCCCCCCACACACCACAAAGTTCACTCAACGCCACAAACACACCACGTTGTCTGCACACTTTAAATTGTAAATAGCCCAACTGATGGGAAAGGAGAGAAAGAGAGAGAGAGAGAGAGAGAGAAAAGAACAACATCTCTTTGTGAATTAACTGTGGAAGGTTGTAATAAAATGGTGAAAAACAAACAACTACCACGCTGTCTGGAAACCACAACCAGGAAGAGAGAAGGAAATGTCTTGTGAATTAAATGAGGGGGGGGTTGGGGGGAGAAAGGCTACAATCAAAGGGAAGAAATCCAGAGGTTACAGGAATATACCTCTTATTGTTGGGGATTAAATAGGAAGGAGAGGGTTTATACTACAGAGGGAAGGAGAGTGAGAGAGACATGCGGTCGTTAGAGAAATACACAAACACACAAGAGGATGTCTGTTAAAAGTAACAACAAATGGATAATAGTCCAAGAGAGGTGGTTGGGGAGGGGAGAAGAGAGTGAGTGAGTGAGTAAGTAACTGTAGTCTGTGTCTTAGAGAGAGTAAGAGGGGAAGGGAAAAGGAAAAAGAGAGTGTGACTGTGTGAGGTGGAGTAGAGAGGAATAGAGAGGAAAGGGGAGATATTAAGCCCCCAGTTATTGTGGATCAATTGGCTGTATTCTGAAGGGGGAGCAGATGAGAGAGGGGAAGAGTGTGTCTGTCTGAGAGGGGAATGGGAGAGAGAGGAATAGATGAGAGAGTGTGTGAGCGAGAGGGAAAGAGAGGAAGAGAGAGTGTATGTGAGAGAGGGGGTGGAAGAGGAATAGAAGTGTGTGTGTGTGTGCGAGAGAGGGAAGAACAGATGGGAGAGAGAGGGTGAGATGAATAGAAGACAGAGAGTCTAGTCTGTAACTTGCAGCCCTGGAGTTTGGGAGCTGAGAGAGTGTTAAGAGTGTGAGTGAAATAGAGAGTGAATGAGTGAGTGAGATAGGGAGAATGAGAGAGAGTGATAGAGTGAGAGACAGAGAGTGAGTGAGGAGGGGGAGAGACAGAGTGAGGAGGGGACAAGACAGACAGTGAGTGAGTGAGTGAGTGTGAGAGACAGTGAATGTGAGACAGAGACAATGAGGGAGTGTGTGAGAGAGAGAGAGAGAGAGACAGTAAGAGAGTGAGGAAGGGGGAGACAGACAGCGAGTGTGAGAGTCAGCGAGTTTGAGAGAGTGAGTGAGTGATAGAGAGAGTGAGGGGGTGGGGGGAGAGACAGTGAGAGAGAGTGAGTGAATGTGAGAGTGGTGGGGGGGGGGACAGACACAGTGATTGTGAGACAGAGAGAGTAAGTGGGGGGGGAATAGAGACAGTGAGTGAGAGAGTGCGTGTGAGAGACAGTGAGGGGGGAGACAGAGAGAGTGAGTGTGAAATAGAGAGTTAGGGAGAGTGAGGAGGGGGGGGCAGAGGGAGAGTGAGATGGGGAGGGGGGCAGGGGGAGAGTGAGGAGGGGAAGAGTGAGGAGGGGGGACAGGGGAGAGTGAGGAGGGGGGGACAGGGGAGAGTGAGGAGGGGGGGCAGGGGAGAGTGAGGAGGGGAGGGGAGAGGGGGAGGGGGGGGCAGAGGGAGAGTGAGGAGGGGAGGGGGGGCAGAGGGAGAGTGAGGAGGGGAGGGGGGGCAGAGGGAGAGTGGGGAGGGCAGAGGGAGAGTGAGGAGGGGAGGGGGGCAGAGGGAGAGTGAGGAGGGGAGGGGGGGGGCAGAGGGAGAGTGAGGAGGGGAGGGGGGGACAGAGGGAGAGTGAGGAGGGGAGGGGGGTGGAGAGTGAGGAGGGGAGGGGGGGCAGGGGGAGAGTGAGGAGGGGGAGAGTGAGGAGGGGAGGGCAGAGGGAGAGTGAGGAGGGGAGGGGGGACAGAGGGAGAGTGAGGAGGGGAGGGGGGGGGAGAGTGAGGAGGGGAGGGGGGGCAGGGGGAGAGTGAGGAGGGGGAGAGTGAGGAGGGGAGGGCAGGGGGAGAGTGAGGAGGGGGAGAGTGAGGAGGGGAGGGCAGAGGGAGAGTGAGGAGGGGAGGGGGGGACAGAGGGAGAGTGAGGAGGGGAGGGAGTGAGGAGGGAGTGAGGGGGAGAGTGAGGAGGGGGAGAGGGAGGAGGGGAGGCAGGGGAGAGTGAGGAGGGGGAGAGTGAGGAGGGGGGCAGAGGGAGAGTGAGGAGGGGAGGGGGGGAGAGTGAGGAGGGGAAGGGGACAGGGGAGAGTGAGGAGGGGGGGACAGAGAGAGAGTGAGAGGAGAGAGAGTGAGAGGAGAGAGAGAGTGAGAGGAGAGTGAGTGAGTGAGTGAGTGAGGCTCCGGCTCTCTGGTGGCGGCACACACTGACCAGTGAGGTGAGGCCCGGCCGCTGCCGCTGCCGCCGCCGCCCGACTCCTCCTGTGACAAACGCGGCCCCGCGGGCAGGGCCGGGGCCGGGACCGGGGAGCACAGGCCGCCGCCATGGGGGGGGGGAGTGGGGTGGGGTGGGGGGGGCGCTCCTCTTCCCTCCCAACCCTCCCGGAGAAGCGCCGGGAAAAAAAAAAGGGCCGATGGAGAACAATAGGGACTCCGACAGGAAGTCACTGGGGGGCGCCATTGCTGCTGTGACGTCACGGGGGTCACAGGTCACCGCGCTCTGCCCCCCCCCCCCCCCCCCCCCCAGGGTGAGTGTGAGTGAGTGAGTGAGTGAGTGAGAGGATGAGGGAGGAGAGGGATGAGGGGAGAGAGAAGGGGATGAGGGGAGAGGGAAGGGGATGAGGGGAGAGAGGGATGAGGGAGGAGAGGGATGAGGGGAGAGGGAAGGGGATGAGGGGAGAGGGATGAGGGGAGAGGGAAGGAGCTGAGGAGGAGAGGGATGAGGGAAGGGGATGAGGGAGGAGAGGGATGAGGGGAGAGGGAAGGGGATGAGGGGAGAGAGAAGGGGATGAGGGGAGAGGGAAGGGGATGAGGGGAGAGAGAAGGGGATGAGGGAGGAGAGGGATGAAGGGAGAGGGAAGGGGATGAGGGAGGAGAGGGATGAGGGGAGAGGGAAGGGGATGAGGGAGGAGAGGGATGAGGGGAGAGGGAAGGAGCTGAGGGAGGAGAGGGATGAGGGAAGGGGATGAGGGGAGAGGGATGAGGGGAGGGAGGGAGGGGGAGAGAGGGATGAGGGAGGAGAGGGATGAAGGGAGAGGGAAGGGGATGAGGGGGGAGAGGGAAGGGGATGAGGGAGGAGAGGGATGAGAGGGAAGGGGATGAGGGGAGAGGGAAGGGGATGAGGGGAGAGGGAAGGGGATGAGGGGAGAGGGAAGGGGATGAGGGAGGAGAGGGATGAGGGGAGAGGGAAGGGGATGAGGGAGGAGAGGGATGAGGGAGAGGGAAGGGGATGAGGGAGGAGAGGGATGAGGGGAGAGAGAAGGGGATGAGGGAGGAGAGGGATGAGGGGAGAGAGAAGGGGATGAGGGAGGAGAGGGATGAGGGAAGGGGATGAGGGGAGAGAGAAGGGGATGAGGGAGGAGAGGGATGAGAGGAGAGGGAAGGGGATGAGGGAAGAAGGGGGAAAGGGAAGGGGGGATGAGGGAGGAGGGGGGAGAGAGAAGGGGATGAGGGAGGAGGGGGGAATGAGAGGGGAAGGGGGAAAGATGGGATGGGAGAGGGAGGAGGGGGGGATGGGAGAGGGGGATTCACTTTGCAGTATATCCTGCGAAGCGCTTTGGGATGTGATGAGGCTCTGTATTAAATTCAAGGCTTTATTATTATTATGTACTGTTTTTAAAAAAAAACTCAAGTGTCGAGAACCCGGCGCGAGATGAACAAGGAAGAAAAGACTCGGTTTACTGGCGTTCCAAACACGGCTCGCGACCGGAATTCCACCCATAGATTCCCATCCTTTCCCGGTGTCACGTCGTGGGAAGCGACGGGGGCTGAATGCACGGCCTCTTCCCACAAGGCGACGGATGGAAACATTCCCAGTCACCTGGAGAGCCATTCAACAGCGGAAGAGGCAGCAGAGGCAGAGCGTTAACGGGGAGGGGGGGTCTGCAGTCAGTCGGTCAGTCGGTGCTGCCAGTGAGTATAGTGTGGAACAACTGAGAACATTGCCAAGATAAATATAAAACCTATAAATAGAGTTACAGCTTAAAAAAATTGCACACAATTTTGCTGGGGTACAACTCACCACCATGCAAGTATTATATTATTAATGTGTAATAAATATTCAATCCACGACTGTTTCTGGGGACACTGCTGTGCGCAATCGGCATTTCGCGTTGGGCCTACAAGGTACACAGTCGATCCACGTTGCAACATATTCTGTGAAGCGCTTTGAGACGTCTCAACGACGTGATAAGGCGCTGTATCAAATGCAAGGATTATTATTATATTATTTGTAAATAAAGAATGATTGGGAGAGCGCTTCAAGGCAACGTTTGGTGGGTTCAGTCCTCACAGAACAGACGCACAAAAGCATCAGACTTTTTTATTCCTTATAGTATATATCAGGGTAGAGGTGATTTAAAGATAGGTCACTGAGGGGTGTTTTGTTCTGCAGTGGCTAAGGAAGTGGTGTGTCGTGCACGATAGGGCAAGTAATATTAATGAGACCAAGGCTGGCATTCGGCAATAATTCATGACTAATGCAGAAAATATCAGTGAAATGTGGAAGCTGAATTCATGAGAAAAGACGTAAATATTTAGACACATTACTGAACGACGTACGTCACGGTTGGGGACAGTCCTTTGACGACACAATAAAGCAAATGAGTCAAAAAAGAAAGGCGTTTTATTAACCCACGCGTATTAATGAGCGGTTAAGGAGAGTGAAACAGTACAGAGAAAGGCTAATGTATCATAAAATTACTAATTCTCCCTTAATCACCGAGCATCAAAATCATGTGGTATGAGATGGCTTGCTTCTTGAACTGAATGATTCAACAGGGGAAAGCAGATGTCCGGCACTCTGCCACAAGGCACTCTTGTGAGTGAAAAGGAAACTTGGGGAGTGGGTTGAGGGTGGGGAGGGGAAAAAGCACAAAATCCTCAAGTCACAATGATGTGTTCTCGAGTCGGGGTGACGTGAACTTATTGTTTAAGATCAACGTCGTCCTCACGTGTGAGAAAAAAAAGGTTCAGTTCGTCAAATAAAAAAAAAGTACCTACTTTTTTTAAGGTTACACAAAAAAACCCACAGATTAACAGATTATTGATCCATTTACTGTTGAATTGAGGAATAACTACAGATTTGGTTTATTTTCATTTAGGCTCCAATTCCCTCCCGACCCCTCCCCCCCCCACATACACACAAACACACTTCCTTCCTTACGTAGCAGATTAGTCCCTGTGGTTGGCATCCAACAAACTAACCTTTGGGGAACATTAACCCCCCACCCCACCGAGAGGCAAATGACTCCAGTTGACCTATCCTTGCGATGGGAATATTGAGCAATCCCAGAGCAATGTTTATCTCACCTAAGAAGATCCCCATAAAAATGTGGGAGTTCAATAAATAGTCCTGGGTGTCCATTGCCAGGCAACGTCATAAGAAACACTTCACATTAGGTTGACTTAAACATACAAAGGCCACCATTTCCACCTCGGTGCAGGTTTCAAGGTCTGGGATTTTCCAGACCTCATCTCATTCCCGACACCGGAGCCTGCTGCTGTTTGCGGATCTTGTTGAACAGCTCCATGTACTGAATGACGGTGTCTGTGGGCGTGTAGATCCCGTCGTGTTTGGCTGTGAAGACCGAGGGAATGCCGGGCGTGTGACTGCCCATGAAGCTCTGCATGAACTCCATCATCAGGTTCCAGCAGTCATTGGACACAATGGAAGGGCAGTATTCTACCTGTGCAGAGCAAACCCAGAGCAAGTTTATTTCACAGTCTTCTATTGCCCCCTCCCCACCCCCCATCAAATAAAAACCTCTCACTCTTCGTGGGTCAGTATTTGAAGGTACCCAACAACACCCCACCCCTCCCCTTAAAAAAAACCTCCCCCCGCAAAATAAAATGGGACGAAACCCTGACGAAGAGTTTTGTGAGCTGTTGGAACTCACAACATGAGGAGGGGAAGGAGAGGATATCTTTAACTTGAAGGAAAAGCAGAAATGCTAAACCCACCTGTCCTTTCCTATGAACGTTAATAATAATTATAATCCTTGCATTTAACATAGCGCTTTATCACGTGGTTGGGACGTCTCAAAGCACTTCACAGAACATACAGGCATTGTAAAGTGGATTGACTGTGTATTTTGTGGGCGAAACGATCCCATGCCATGATTTGGAAAAAGAAGGGAGTTTTTCCCAGTTTCCTGATTAAGGCACAACTCAACACAGAACAGCTCCAAGTGGGTCAGAGTACAGACCTGACTCACTGACTGCACTGAGTTGGGCAATCACAGAGCAGGGCGGCAATGAGGACATTGCAATTGGACTTGGCCCTGAGGCTGAAGAGGGCTGGAGGGGAGCGGGGGGTAGAGAGAATATCAAGACAAGTTTCCTTTTTCTGATTGTTCTCCAATGAACCTGCTGGATTTTCACTTCTGCGGACACGACTGTTTGTGGGACGCTGCTGTGTTCAATTGGCTGCCGCGTTTTTGCCTGCAAAATATACGGTCAATCCACTTTACAGTAGATTCTGCGAAGCGCTTTGAGACGAGATAAGGCGCTATATCAAATGCAAGGATTATTATTATTATTGGTATATTATATCTGATAAAGGATCATCCTGGATGTGAAACAACGTGCTAACACTCACTGCCCATATCTTAACCCAGCAAGAATCAGCACCTTCAGGAAAGTGAAGAAGGGGGGAGTTGGCAGGAAGAAGGCATCTGACATTTAAGTGTTGTAGGGACCCCTAGGGACAGGTATATTTTACAACACAGGAATTATATACGCAAGACAGTACAAGGCGACTTAGCACCGCAGACATCACAACTCTCACTTGCTGCAGTCAATGATGGCCTGTTTTAATTAAAGCTCCAGTCCCACGATCCATATCCTTCCCGAATCCACACAACCAGCATAACAACCTGTCAGTGCGTTCAATATTTCACACTTAATCCATCTTTTTAACATCTTACAAGCTTAAGAGTCAGGCTCCGCTGCTGTTAAATGCTCTGAGATGTTCCCCTGCGTGGAGGGTGCTATATAAATGCAAGTCGTTGTTGTTGTTACAAACCCAAATCACTGATAAAAATGACCACGGCTCCAAACACGCTGTTTGAAGCAAGTTACAATGAAGCCTCGTTAAGGAGGCTCCACAGCGAGACATGAAGTGCAGCATGATTGATTCCCATCAGCATTATTTGGAATTTAAGCTTGTTGTGACCCCCCCACTCCCTTCCGCCCACCCCGCCTCTCCCCCTCCTGGAGCGCAGAGCTTGCCATTCTAGGCTGGGAAGATCTGTCCACTGTTATGCTATATGGAGATCACTGGATGACGACTTATCCCATCGTCGAGACGTCTTAAAGCGCTTCACAGAAGCAAGGTATATTGCGGGCGAAATGCAGCAGCCAATTGCGCACAGCGACGTTCCACAAGCAGTCGTGGATTGAAGTGACCAATTTATTATTATTTTTGGGGGGGGAGGGATTTTACCTCCGGAAAAGCGATCCGCCAATCGACTGACAACCACTGGTGGGTAAACAGAGGCGTGTGTGGGGGGAGTAAGGAAACTTGACTCAATGGAAACGCAGACCCGACTATGAACGTACCTCAACGGATATGCCACGTGCGCTGGGTCCCATTGTCACCGTCCCAACCTTCACCAGGAAATCGCTGAATTGGTATCGCTGGCCTCGGCTCTCAATCTTGTTGCTCTTGGCGTTCTGGAAAAATCCCTTGAGTTTGATCATCAGCGTGTCGAAGTTGGTGTCCGCCACCAGGCAGGGTCCGTTCTCGAAGAGGGCGAAGCAGCTGGCAGGGTACTCTGTGTTGTGCATCACGTACATCAACTTGCCCTGTTGCCCTGTATCACAACAACAACAAATCATATATCGAATGCAAGGATTATTATTATTGTTATTGCAAAACCCACTTTATTCTTTCTAAACCAAATGCAAGAGACCACACTGATCTGGAAGTGAACAGACTGGGCGGGACTGTAGGCTTAATGGAGCAATTGGAACTTTTATCTGAGAGCAGCAAGACTGAAAGCACTTTTCACTGAAGTTACACAGAATAGGATTAGCCACCCAAGTAAACCTTACTCTACTCCATGTCGATTCTTAAAGGGATCACACAAACACACACACACAGCAGTACAGTCAGGATGCCAGTTTCCAGTGCGCTCGTGAACAGGCAAGTTGGAGGAATTCAAGCAACAGCCAAATGTTTCGTTGGGGGGGGCTTTAGGCTTTATCCCTCGTGCCTGCATTGCAGCCAGCGAGTGTCGGGAGAAAGACTTGCAGTTCAACAGGAATAGATGCAAAATCTCTGGTTTACTGCATCATAATTGGATCAAACGGAATTACGGTTGTACAGATGGAGTGCTATCTAATCTGTAACTATTTTGTCCTTGGCAAGACCAGGAGTTTCTGCTTGTGCAAGGTTTTATTGAAGGGTAGATTACTTCCTCCTTCGGTCACGCAAGCTGGGAGAGAAAGAGTGAGAGGGAGAGAGAGGAGGGGGGGTGCACATAATCCCACTCCCCTCTTAATGCCACTCCAATTTGTCTGCCAGTTGGGCAATAAAGGCTCAAGGACAAATCTTACAGATTGCAGTCGGTGGCGCAAAAACTTTGTTACTGTTCCCAACTTCCTCCCCTCCTTGTGAAGGCATTTATAATAACAATAATAATAATCCTTGCATTCGATATGACGCCTGATCATGTCTTTGAGACGTCTCAAAGCGCTTCACAAGAATACACCGTAAAGTGGGTTGACGAATGTGTGTTTTGCGGGCGAAACGCGGCAGCCAATTGCGCACAGCAGTGTCCCACAAGCAGTTGTGGATTGAGTCACCCTATTTTTGGGGGGAGCGATTACAGTATTACTTCCTGGAAAGCGATCTGCCAATTGATTAAAAACCGGGTTCCTGAGTGTAGTGACTGTGTTTGTTGCCAATTCACTCGCGGGCATGAAGTGAAACGACAAGTTTATGTATAGGATTGGTGTTCAGGACACACTGGGAAAAACTCCCTTTTCTTTCCAACTGTATATTTCCTCCACTTTACAATGACTTCAGGGAGAAATGCTCTCGCAAAGGCTGGGCATGTACATAAAATACGAGGAAGTGTTTGGAATAAGTAAATAGAAGTTTTCTGCGGAGACTGGCATTACCTGAGTTATTGACAATGGGCGCAGCGTGGTAAGTCTCACAGTCTACACAGAAGGTCCCCTGTTTAACAGCGCCCAGGATTTCCAGCTTCTTTGTGATCATCTCCACTGTCTGCTGCACGCTTTTGCCTTCAACAGCTGGGATCTGGGAAACGCTACGAGGAGGAAATGGGAAGCGGATTAGCCGCAGAACGAACACAGCACAAGCATCAGAAAGGTGACTCTAGCTCCCCGTCATGGCCTTGACGGGCAAACACAGCAGCCGGTGAAGGGGGCAGCATTAGTTTCTACAGACCGGGCAGGCTTGATTCCTGATCTGGGCTGCGTTATCCTTACCCCACCCAGTGACGGGCACTAAATAAAGCGCTCTGGGTCGCTACCCTGTGTGAGGGGCGCTGCATAAATGCAACTTGCTGTGTTGTAGGTACAGGCGAGTTGTTGTTGACTTGGGCCTCAGCAAATAACGGGGTAAATACCTGAAAGGGAGAAATATGATCAATACGGCCAATCACTGGGGACGGGGAATCCTCCCACTCAGCTCCTATTAACCCCGACAAGCCAAAGCCCAAACAGGTAGGGAGGGTGGGTTCCTGGCTGGACAAGGACCCGGATGGCTTGTCAAACAGGGCTATCCGGGGCAAGCTGGCCGCGTGCTTTCATCCGGTTAGACTCCAGCAGTTACGCCCCCATGCACAACTCCGGGGTCCCCCTAAACCCTTGGGGAACCTCACTGTCTGATCGTTCTCACAGGCACTGCAACAACAACAACAACAACAACAGGTACCCCCACCCCACCCCACACACACACACACCCATCTGGAAATTCTAAGCCTGCAAACAGAGGACTTATTTACACAGCCACTAACTCTCTCTCTCTCACACAGACACACAGACATTTTGCTGAAAAGCCACATTTAACATGAACTTGTTAAATGCCCTGTCCCCTGTTTTGATGGTGATTTGTGTGTGTGTGTGTGTGTGTCTTGTGTGTGTGAGGGGAGGGGTGAGGGGGTTGTTTTTTTTTGGGGGGGGGAGGGTGAGAGGTTCCAGATGTTGGCCACACTGGAAGGTGGACCTGGTTGGAGGGAGGGATGGAGTGATGGAGGGAGGTTGCTACCAAAGGCTCCTGTGTCTGGAGTAGATTTGAACCCCATTCCCCCCCACTCCCCCCCCACCCCTTTTCCCTGTAATAAAGCAGTGTGTTCCCAGCCCCTTCCTCACCATGTAACTCCCATGATCTCAGCACCACCAGTGGTTCTCAGGTCCCCTTTCTCTGAACTGCTTCTGATCCAAACGATGCCTCTAATGGTAAAGATGACAGATCCTCAGCTTTTCTTTCATTCTTTCTGTCTCTCTCTCTCTCTCTCTCACACACACACACACACACACACAACTCCCACAGCAAAGATCACAGCTTCCACCAGAAAGAATGTCTATCTGTGGCTTTTCTCTGGTATTGCCCTCTGGTGATGAGGAGGACTTCTCTCTCTCCTCTTCTCTCAGAGCAAATGATCTTTCACACATCAGCACTTTCCAACCAAACCCTCCAAGAAACTAACTAACTTACCTACTGACTTACTTCATTTATTCTTTTGTTTATTATTTGATTAATTTGTATTTTTTATTCTTTTATTTATTCTTTTGTCCATTATTCGACTATTTCGTTTGTTGTCTGATTCATTTGTTTATTTATTCTTTTATTTCGTCTATTCTTTTATTCATTCTTTTGTTTGTTATAATAATAATAATAATAATAATCCTTGCATTTGATGTAGCGCTTTTCACGTCGGGAGGACGTCCCAAAGCGCTTCACAGAACACACTGTAAAGTGAATTGACTGTATATTTGTGGGCGAACGCGGCGGCCAATGGCGCACAGCAATGTCCCACAAACAGTCGTGGATTGAAAATGACCAATTTATTATTGTTGTTTTTTTTGGAGGGATTATTATTTGTTATTTGATTCATTTGTTTATTCATTCTTTCCTTCATTTATTATTTTATTTACTTATTAGTTTATTCTTCTTCTCTGTTTTTTTAGCGACCGCATCCGAGATTTGCTGTCGGGAAACCGAAGCTTTGGGTTTTGCTTCTCGTAATCCAAATAATAACGGTAATAATCCTAATCCTCGCGTTTGCTTCCTCGGCTCCTTTCACGTCTCTCACAGCTCCCCGACCCCCCACCCATTATTTATTAAATAATAACTAATAATAATGCGGTCACTTCAAACCGCGGCTGTTTGGGGGGACGTCGCTGTGCGGCAATTGGCCGCCCTGTTCCGCCCGCAAATCACTCGCGGTCACTCCACCTCATGGTCCGGAAGCGTCTCGAAGACGCGATGAGCCAAATGCAAAGATTGTTATTATTAATAACGATAATATAACAAATGACAGACTGACACCACCCGGACCCCCACTGCCCTCTTCCCCCATTCCCCCTCTCTGCCTCCCCCACTGCCCTCCCCCTCCCCCCCCTGCCCTCCCCCACTGCCCTCCCACCTCTCCCCCCCCTGCCCTCCCCCCTCTCCCCCCCCCTGCCCTCCCCCTCTCCCCCCCCTGCCCTCCCCCACTGCCCTCCCCACCCCTTGCCCCCCCTCTCCCCTCCCCCCCTGCCCTCTCTCCCCCTCCTCTCCCCCCCCCCCCCCTTGCCCCCTCCCCCTCTCTCCCCCCCTTCTCTCCCCCCCCCTTGCCCCTCCCCCTCTCTCCCCCCCCCCTGCCCTCTCCCCCCCCCCCCGCGCCTTGACCTTTGTGGCGAATCTGTTACAGTGAGGAAGGAAGTTGCAACATTGTTGCCGGTGGTGGAGGGGATACATGTGGCGCAGTGCGCAGTGCGCGGGCGGCGAGAGGGACACGTGGAGCTGAGCGGCTCCGGGGGTCTGAGTGAGGGTCTGTGTGAGGGTCTGTGTGAGGGTCTGGTGAGGTGTGTGTGGGTGTGTGTGAGGGTCTGTGTGTGGTGTGTGTGAGGGTCTGTGTGTGGGTGTGTGTGAGGGTCTGTGTGTGGGTCTGTGTGTGAGGGTCTGTGTGTGGGTGTGTGTGAGGGTCTGTGTGTGGGGTCTGTGTGTGGGTGTGTGTGAGGGTCTGTGTCCCCGAACCCATCGGCCTCTGTTCACAGACAGGAAAGACCCGGGAAATGCCTAAGGTTAAGGCTAAAGGCGGCGGTGGGGGGTGTGGGGGGCGCGGGGGGGGCAGTAACCTGCCTCTGGCTGATCAGATCCTCCAGGGGGTCTCCGTCAGACCCACCACCCGGGTCAAGAGGCGAGCCCGGCGGCAGGAGGAGGAGGAGGAGGAGGACTATGTGGACGAGAGGCTGTCCAGGAAGATCCTGGAGCAGGCCCGGGCCCAGCAGGAGGAGCTGGAGCGGGAGCTCGGGGTCGGGAGGGGGTCCGACTGCCAACGGCCCAAAGCCACCACTCTGGGTGGGTGTGAGTGTGGGGCAGAGAGGGGGAGAGAGAGAGAGACACAGACACAGAGAGAGACAGACACAGAGAGAGACAGACACAGACAGAGAGACAGACACAGACAGAGAGACAGACACAGACAGAGAGACAGACACAGACAGAGAGACAGACACAGAGAGACAGACACAGAGAGAGACAGACAGAGACAGACACAGACAGAGACAGACACAGACAGAGAGACAGACAGTCACAGAGAGAGAGAGACAGACAGTCACACAGACAGACACAGAGACGGACAGACACAGAGACAGACACAGAGACAGACAGACACAGAGACAGACAGACACAGGGACAGATAACCGAGAGAGAGAAAGACACAGAGAGACAGACAGATACACAGAGACAGACAGACACACAGACAGACAGACAGACAGATGGCAAGAGACGGAGAAGCCGGCAACCGGCAACCGAGCAGCATATACATCGTCGTAATAACCCCGTGCAGTCGCTCCGGGCGACCTTTACCGTGTCTTCGAGACGTCTCGGAGCACTCCTTCCTCAACCGTGATCGAATTCCGTCTCGTTTCTCTCCCCCCCCCCCCACCCCCCCGCAGGCCGAGGCTCCGAGGGGAAGGAGTCGGACTCGGATTCCGACGAGGAGTGGCCCACCCTGGACGAGGCCGCCTCCATGGCCAAGGGCAAGTACTGCGAGCAGGTCCCGGTCAACCCGGAGGACGAAAAGGCCATCGACACGTTCATGAACAAAGACGCGCCCCTGAGGTGAAGCCTGTTCCGCGGCGGGTGACGGTAGCTGTCGATCTTGGGCGGGCAGCCCCCCCCCCCGCCACTTCCCCCTCTCCCCCCCTCAATGGCCTAGTGGACAAAGCCCCAGTTTACGAACCAGGGTCTCTGAAGTCCCTCAGGTTCTCAACTCGGCAAGGCGGCCCCCATTCAGCCCCTCGAGCCTGTTCCGCCGTGCTATAAGATCATGGCTGATTCTGAACCTCAACCCCTATCACCCTCCCTCGCCGCCTATCCCTACAGAGGGCAGTGGTGGACAATGCCTTCCAGTTGGATTAACTGTTTTCCTTCCTAGTTGTGTGCCCTCCCCACCCCCCACCCCATCGTAAACGGACCCACCTGCTTTGACCGTGTCCTTAACGCTAGGTTTTTGCTTTACATTCGAGGCGTACGCTGGCTGACATCATCATGGAGAAGATAACAGAGAAGCAGACGGAGGTGCAGACGGTCATGTCCGAGATATCTGGCCGGCCCATGCCTCAGCTCGACCCCCGGGTCCTGGAGGTGTACAAAGGCGTGCGTGAGGTAAAAGCGCTTCTGTCAGAATCTTTTGTCAGAATCTTTTAACGTGTCGTTTACGCACCGATCCTCTAACTCGAGCAGTGGGCACGTCGCGCCGTTCCTGAGGGTTTCCTCCGTATCAACGATAGCCAACCATCATGGTGTCGTGGACAAGGCTGCAGCTTACAAACCAGGAACTCGCTGGTTCGATTCCCGATCAGTCGGTGCTGATATTATCTATTATACATATATATAGATTATATAGATATAATCGGTGCAGAGGTTAAATTGGCCGATAGAATCACTTTTCCTTGATTGAATATTTCTTGATTTATAATCATCATAATAATAATCTTCCTGGCATTTGATACAGCGCCTTATCACGTCTTCGCGACGTCTCGAAGCCCTTCACAGAATGCTGCCATAAATCAAGAAATATTGACTCGAGAATAATACTGTGAACGGGTTAACGACGCGGCGGGCAGTTAGTTGCGCTCAGCAGTGTCCCACAAACGGTCGCGGCGGATTGAGCGACCGGACTGCTACGATTTTTCTTTATCTTCGGAAAGCCAGGCACTGATGCCTGCACACTTTTCAACGCATCCCAACAGGTGTTGTCCAAGTACAGAAGTGGTAAACTTCCCAAAGCCTTTAAGATTATCCCGGCTCTGTCAAACTGGGAGCAGATACTGTACATCACTGAACCGGAGACCTGGACGGCGGCAGCCATGTACCAGGCGACGAGGTAAGAGACGAGGGCGCTGGCGTGGCTTATAGGGATTTCTCTTCGGCTCGGAATGGACCCGCGGGGAAGGAGAGTCCATCGTTTGCTCCGTCCTACCTGCAGAAACCTTTCTACTTCAAAACGGAAAGCAACAGCAGCAGCAGCGCCCCTCGCGCAGGGTAGCGTCCCAGCGCGCTTAAGAGTCGCTCACTCCACGCCTGTTTGAGGGCCACCGCTGTGCGCAATTGGCTGCCCCCCCCCCCCCCGTTGCGTCCACAAAGCACGCGGTCGCTCCACATTCTACAAAGCGCTTTGAGGCGTCTCAAGGACCTGATAAGGCGCTGTATCAAATTACTGGTCACTGCCCTGGTAGCGCTGGCAAGAGCCTTGTGGTGGGAAGTTTTATTATATTGAATAACACTGATGTTACGTTTGACATAGTGCCTGCCTTTCATGTTGGGAGGACGTCTCAAAGCGCTTGCAAGGTTATTTGTGTAGAGTCATTCTTGGCCTCTCTCTCTCTCCCTCCCCTGCAGGATATTTTCTTCCAACCTGAAGGAAAAAATGGCGCAGAGGTTCTACAACCTGGTGCTTCTGCCTCGAATAAGAGACGACATCATTGAGTACAAACGCCTCAACTTCCACCTGTACATGGCTTTGAAGAAGGCACTTTTCAAGCCCGGAGGCTGGTTTAAAGGTAAGATGCCTCCTGTCCCTCCACCCTCCCTGCCCTGGCCTCCACCCCTCCTGATCCCGAACCCCCAGCTCGGGTGCACACCCTTCGCTGTCCAGCTCTTTGGGACGTCCTCCTGCCGCGAAAGGCGCTGTTTAAATGTCATTTGTTGTTGTTGGTGGTGGTTTAGGTGACGGGTTTAACGGTAAAGGTGACGGGTTTAAGGGTAAAGGTAACTGCCAAAGAAATTACCAGCAAGCCCTGCATTGCATCAGGATATGAATAATTCTTCACTAGAATTTGTGTACCCCTTGTTCAGGAAGAGAGGTGGGTGTGGGGGGGGATTGCTCCCAGGAAATAGGCAGGAGCTGGTGCCAACACGGTAATCATTTAATAATAATATATTACTTTAGCGTTGTAATGAATATTATTGCAACGATAACCTGTTTGTTTTTACCCTCGCCCCCACCCCCACCGTCCAGGTATTCTGATCCCCTTGTGTGAATCGGGGACGTGCACACTGAGGAGGCGATCATTATCGGCAGCATTTTGACTAAGTGCTCCATCCCGGTTCTGCACACAAGGTGAGCCGTGTTTTTGTGTGTGCTCTTTGAGCTGAAATCGTGTGGTTGAAACAGACATCATTATTCTGTTCTCTCTCATTTTTAAAAAATAAAAAAACGTTCACGTCTGGAGCTCGTCACACGATATTCTAGTAAAGCGTAGCGACTGCATATTTCGAGGGCCAAACGCGGCAGCCAATTTGCGCACAGCGACATCCCGTAAACAGCCAAGAAGTGCACGACCAATTTTATTTGAGGGATTGATTGCTAGCCCGGGCACCGTACGAGGGAGACTTCATTCTCCCTTTTTTCTTTCAGTTGTGTGACGTTTTATCCTGTGACAGTAAACTTGCAATAATAATAATAATCCTTGCATTTGTTATATATAGCGCCTTGTCACGTCATTGCGAATTCTCAGAAGCGCTTTGCGGAATATATTGTAAAGTTGGAGTGACTACGTATTTTGTGGGCGATATACTTATCGGCTGCAAGTTATTTCCAGCCCTTTGCCTCTCACTTGTACATGCTTAACTTTGCCCGCCGGCCAAACGAGAGGTTAATCTCTCTTGCATAACTCGAAACACTAGCTAGCAGATTGCAAGGCTGAATGCTCTTTTTGTGCGGTGGTTAGAAGCGGAGGAAACGGTGAGCGACTATTGTGTTTGTTGTACCTTGGGCTCCAAAGTGATGTGCAAGTTTCGCGATGACTCAAAAAATAAAAGAGTCTCGCGTCGAAGGTGTAACTATCTCGCGCTCCACGGGGACTTGTTATTTATCACCTTATCATTGCCACAATCTCTCTCTCTCTTTGCTGCCCGCAGCGCTGCCATGCTGAAGATTGCGGAAATGGAGTACAACGGGGCGAACAGCATCTTCCTCCGGCTGATGATCGACAAGAAGTACGCCCTGCCTTTCCGCGTGATCGACGCCTTGGTTTTCCACTTCCTGCGGTTTCGGACGGACAGGCGCGTCCTGCCGGTGCTGTGGCACCAGAGCCTCCTCACCTTCGCCCAGCGCTACAAGGAGGACCTGTCCTCCGAGCAGAAGGAGGCTCTGATGGGGCTGATCAAGACCCACTCGCACCCGCCCATTTCCGGCGAGATCCGGAGAGAGCTGGTCAACTCCAAGTCGCGGGACGTGGAAGTGGGGATGGCGATGGAGTAGCCCCCCCTCACCCCCCACCCCCGGTCCTAACTCCCCGTGTCTCGCACAGCAAGGATAACCTGGGTCAGAGTGTGAGTGGTGCTACGGAAACAAACTCGGGTTCCGCGATACAATTTATTGTTGGCCTTTGTTAGCTCTGAAGCACCCGTGGTCTAGCTGAGTAATTACTCGCCAAAGACTGTCTCGCTGCCTTCTCCCATTTTTATTCCCTCCCTCTCCTGAAGGTACTAACACTGGCTTATGCTGCCGCTGGCGTCTTAACAGGAGCCCCACCAATACATCGGCCAACATTGAGTGTAGGTGGGACCGGGGAATCACGGAAACGGGGCTAACATCTGCGATAGGTCCTGGCCACGATCCGTGGGAGTGTGTAACCTGGGTTTGGAGTGGGACGGACCTGTTGCTGACCCTTTCTGTGTCCGTAGCCGAGATTAACTAAAACATCGGACGTGAGTCAAATCTGCGGACTTCCTAGGCTGTGACTCAGCAGTGCAAAGAGTCAGCAAGGACTGCAACCCCTTTGCCTTTTATTTAATGGTGGAAACTGTGGGAACGACCCCTTTTTGTGCATAAAATTACCATCGTTTAATATTAATTTTCAAAGCTATAGGTGGTCAGGACAAAAGGTTTATCCCTCCCTTCACCACCTCCATTCAGTAAAGAAAATGGTAATCAAAGTAGGTGAGGAACAGTGAGAGACCCAGCGTTGCAAAGCTTGAGAGTGCGTGTGTGGTTTTGAAGAGAACGGTCTTGAGACAATGCCAACAGTGATATTAAAAGGTGGAATATGTTGCTCGAGTTTACATAAACCCATCGAAAATAATAAAACAAAATGTACGCAAATGCGGTCATTGAAATGGATCCAGCCGTTCGTTACACTGCAGGAGAAATGTTTGAACAGCAGTTAATTAAATCGATATGTTGACTGGCCGCAAAGAAGGTTTCATCCCATTGTCTGGTTCCGCGCTAATTGGAACAGCTCTTGTGTACTTAGCTGTAAGAGGCAATGTCGGGCCAATCATCATTCTCGCCAACAAATGCACAATTCACAGGAGAAGCTCTGTGAGGCGCTTCGAGACATCTCGACGACGTGATAAGGCGCTGTATCAAAGGCAAGGATCGTTATTCATAGTTGGAACATGAATTCGGGGGATTTTCAGCAGGATTAGTGATTTCTCCTGTCTCGCGTTTGCCTTTGTGACAACAGGGCTGCTCTCAAAACACCGTGCTTCAGATGCGAGCTTCTAAACCGGTGTATGGGAAGACTTACAATTTCCAGCTAACAAAATGTTGGCTTTCTACCAGATGCAATTAGGATCTCCCTCTCTCTCTCTCTCATTAGTTAGTTCTTTGCATTGAATACACTGGAAAACCCAGCTGCGTAGTCTCTGCCCTTCATTGGCTTGTGACTTGACTTAAAAGCGTTTCAAGACAAAAAATTGGGGAAGGGGGGGATTTCTTTTAGTTTTGCGATGACAAAAGTAGGCACAGCATCGTACAATGGCAGAAAGCAGCCAAGCTATTGCTATCGTACAATGCACGTTGGCAACTTACCAATTGTAAAATCCACCAGTGATAGCTAACTGGTGTGATGTGAAACATTAGCTCGAAGGTGAGGGAGATCGTAACATTTTAACGTGGCTTTTCTAATCGTTTATGGACTGTAAGAAATACTATCCAGCTATGTTGTGTGAAGCGCTTTGAGAGGTCTCAACGAGGCGATAAGGGGTTATATCAACTGCAAAGATTAATAATATACTTATGCTACTTTGCCCTCTTGATGGAGAATTGTGCGCTGACGTACATTTTGGAGCTCGCAACAAAAATCACCGCTAGCTAGCCAGTGAGTTGACTTCTACTAGATTCATCATATTAAAAGAATTGATCCAGTAATTTTCTTTGTAGATACTGCATTTGACTTAAGTGAGGTCTTGGCACCGATTTTTACTGTTGCCATTGGACCAGTAGATGGCAATCTTCCTCTGCATTACATCGCTTCACTTGGACAAAATTATCATTCGTGTTCAGTTAAGACATCCTTTGTTTTGCTTTAAAAATGTTTAATGCACAGCTTTACAAAGTTCCCTTCTCCATATTGTATCCCCTTGTGCTGCTATAGATGGCATTTCTCGCATCTCAGGATAAACGGACAAAAGAAAGTATTAATTGTTATCACTGATTTTTGTTTAGACCCAGAGAATGGTTATTTAGGTGAGTTGTTGGAGGGGTGAAGATTAGAGGGACGAAGAAGTCACAAAAACATAGCAATTAGCTTGATTGTATTTTTTCCCCACATGCAATTCATTGAATGATGTTCTTAAGTGATTATCACTTTAAATGTTCAATTATGTTTATTAAATTGAATGTGAAGAGCTACAGCTTGTTTCAGTTCAAACGTAATAAGAGAGTGGTTACATTTCAGATGCCGTTCCCAATTATTGTCGTAATAATCCTTGCATTTGATACGGTGCCATCTGTATCACGTCATCAAAACATCTCAAAAGTATTTCACAGGATTTATATGCTGTAATAATAACAATCCTTGCATTTGGTGTATGTAGTAGCACCTTATGTTGTCGAGGCATCGCAAAGCGCTTCACAGGATAAACCGTAAAGTAAATGGACTATACTTTGCGGGCGAAACGTGGCAGCCAATTGGGTACAGCGCTGCCCCGCAAACAAGTCACGGATTGAGTTGACCAAATTATTATTATTATTATTATTATTTTCTAGGGGGGGAGAGGGGTTATTAGCCTCGGAAAAGCGATCCATCTGCCAATCGGGTTCGGAGCAACCGGGGTGGGGTGGGGTGGGGGGCGGTTGTAACCTACGGGGCTGTCGAGGTAAACAACAGTGGGACACAACAGGACAGAAGTGAATGAAAACCCAAATCAATGCCACTGTGTTGACTGCTGTTGTCTTGTGAGTTGCCATTTGCTTCCAGACTGGATACAGGGATGTCTCAGTGCGCAGGCGCGTCAGCCCACCACCAGCCCCGCCCCAAAGGGGGCGGAGCCTCGGCGCAGCTGTCACTCGCGCCCGCGTCGGCTTTTCCTGATTGGTCGTCGGGTTGCCGCGACCAATCAGGAAAAGGTAGGGGGGGGCGGGATCGGGATGGGTCCCTCCCCCCGTCGCCATGGGAACGGGGCCCACTCGCTCAGGCTTCGCGAGCGGCAAGCCGTCGGTTCGCACACCGAATGACACGGTGAGGCGGGGGTGGGGGGGGGGCGGCGGTTTGACACCGGCCCCCTTTTCCCGATTATGTTCCGGGAGGAGGAGGAGAAATTTTTATTTCGTTTTGTTTTAATCTGGACCCGCTTTTTTTTTGTTAGATTCTGGTGGTGGGGGTTTAAAGAGGGAACTTTCTGAAGGGGGGAGGAGGGAGTGTGTGTGTGAGGGAGGGGTGTGTGTGGGGGGGAGTGTGTGTGAGGCGGAAAGTGTGTGTGAGGAGGGGTGTGTGAGGGGGCAGTGTGTGTGAGGGAGGAGTGTGTGTGTGAGGGAGGGGTGTGTGAGGGAGGGGTGTGTGAGGGGGGGGAGTGTGTGTGAGGGAGGGAGTGTGTGTGTGAGGGTGGGGGAGTGTGTGTGTGAGGGGGGAGTGTGTGTGTGAGGGGGGAGTGTGTGTGTGAGGGGGGGGAGTGTTTGTGTGTGGGGGGGGGGGAGGTGTGTGTGTGGGTGTGTGTGAGAGTAGCTGGTGGAAGGAAAGCGGATGTGGACACTCGTTAGAAGTATTACATTAATAATAATAGTAGTAATAATCCTTGTTAATTTGCTAAGAGCGTCTCTATCAGGTCGTCGTGGCGCCTCGAGGCGCCTCGGACGGTATTTTACTCTTTTCCGGTGGAGCGACTGACTGCGCGTTTCGCGGGTGAAAAGGTCACGGGGGTTGGGGAGGATCGGGGCGGGTGGGCGGGCGGGCGGGTGGAGGTGTGGACGGGGGGTGGTGGCATTGGGGTTAAGAGCAGTTGTTCACTGGTGGAGGAGTTCACGCCCGGGGGAGGTTTGATAAACCGAAAGGTCTCCCTCACCCGGGTCGGGATTTCAACGTCGACAACAACTTGCGTTTATTTTGTCCTGCGCCCGTCAGGGGCGGAGTAGCATCTTGGGAGCGTTTTAACAGTGCAGGAGCCTGACGTGAAGACTCCCGTCTCCCTTCGAGAATTAGGCGTTAACATCATAAATAATAATAATAATTACAAACAATTCAGCACCTTATCACGTCGTCGAACCCGACTTTCTGAAAGTGCTTCACAGGACTTTACTGTGAAGTGTAGTGACTGGGTTATTTGTGGTCAGCCAATATGCACACCATTATTATACAATTTATTGCTGCAAGAGGGGAGAAAATACTGTGCTGTCATTGATGATAAAGACTGACATGACAACTGGCTTTACTGCCTTAGTTTCTCCACAGAGCACGTGATGCGTATATCCCGGGTCACCTGCGGCAATGGAGCGTTCTTCGCGGAGGACTCACCACTAACATAGGCGCAATGGGATAAATTAATCCCTGTGCGTTTTCTGTTAGTTTGTTTATTTTAAAGAGAGAATCTCAGTGTGTGAATACAAATTCAGCATCTTTCATTATCGTTTTTTTAAAAAACAAATTTGGTTGAGAAGCATTTTGAAGGGAATGAAATTGTAAAGGTCACAGGACAACTTAATTCTATCTTGTGCCCATCTGTGCGATGACAGCAACTCGCATGATATGATGGTCCATTTACGTCACGTCATTGATGCATGCTGTTATTCCAAACCAAATAACTGACGTAATTAAAATGACATTAAGTATTTCATTATCAGGAAATAATGTGGAAAGTTATGAATAGTTAACATCTCTGGAACTTTTTTTTATTTCACAGATAATTTGAAAATTCAGTAGAAAGATAAAACTAGAACCGAGTGAATAATAATATGGTTGTTTCCTTTCACCTCTGAAATCTTTGTTTTTGATTTCAGGTCAAGTTGATGGAATAAAAGTCTTCCCTTTTTACTCACTCTAAGGCTTCTAACGTAAAATCAGTTTTGGCAATCTTAGCTCAGGTTGGCGAGAATCTACAGCATATATAATTGTCCATAATTTTGGCATTTGTATAACATCTTTCACGTCGTCAGGACGTCGCAAGGTCAGTGTTTCGGACCCGAGCTGGGGGTCGGGATTGGGGAGGCTGGAGGGCTGAGCAGAGGGAGCGGGCAGGATGGTAGGGATTTAGGAGGTCACAGGTAGGGGGAAGCAAGGCCGTGAAGGGCTTTGAAGGACTGGGATCTTGAACTGTATCCTCTGTGTGATGGGAAGCCAGTGGAGTCGGGCAAGGATGGGGGTAGTAGGTTCACGGAGCCTAGCCTGGTGTGGAAGAGGACATGGGTGCAGAGTTCTGGATGATCTGCAGCCTATGGGGGAAGGAGTTGAGGAGGCCGACAAGCATAGTCAAGCCTCGATGTTACGAATGCGTGTCTGGGGGTTTTGCCAGCCTGAAGTGAGAGACCGTGGTGCAGCCGGGCCATGTTGCGGAGGTGGGGCAAGGCAGAGTGGGTCATAGCACAGATGTGGGGTAGAAAGGATAGTTGAGGGTCAAACACGATGCCAAGGTTCTGGATTGGCGTAGTAAGGTGGGGTGTGCATCACTCCACCTTACTATGCAGGGAGAAACCACACGTATGCTGGTGTGAAATTGACATACCATAATATACTGGCATAGTCAGTTTCATATTTAGCATAACCTTGTTGAGATTTAGAAAAATAAAACAAGTGTTTGATGCAGGCTGCTACGCACAATGAAAAATAATATCGCTTAATAAAGTAATTGTATAAGATAAATAATGTACTATATATGTGGAAACTAACTTTGTGTTTATTGTGCTATAGTTGAGTGGTTATAAGCATGAACCAATGGTTGCCATAGTTTCTTAAAAGAGATCCAGTCAAAATCTATGAAATGTATGTAATTTTCTCCATTGCTATGGTTTCCCATAATAGATTCAAGTACAGTTCAATTTCCAGATGTTCTTTCTCTGTGTAGTTTTTACAATGCATTTTCTTGCTGTGAGCAGTAAAATATCATAAATCAGGTTTTCATTTGTGGGCCCTCCACTCTGTCAGATGGTAACCCAATTAATAACATGGATCCAAAACTAAGTGCAGTTGATTAATAGGACATGTTGCTATATTGTTCCTCAATTTGTTTTTTGAAATGGAGGATGCAATACAATATACTGAGATAAAGGCGTATTTAATCAGTGTGTGTCTATTTGTTTTTTTAATAATGGTTTGATTGTCCGTACGTGTTGTTTTTCAGTGCAATGGGATTTTTAGTTCCCAATGACAAAAATAGTTGCCACAATGGCAAACCACGAATAATTTGGCCAATTTTTTTTTTTGGCTCAACCCAATACTCAAAACCCAATACATCAATTCCTCACCCGGGACACCGAGGGGAAGCAAAATAGTCAACAACAACAACAACTTACACTTAAACAGCACTCCTCCCAGAGCGGTCGACAGTGGCGGGAGTAAGAATCGTCGAATTGCGGATCAACACAATTCAAAAAGGTGTAGCAAAAAAAAGGGGCCATTGCGATCTCAGCCCTAGCAACAACCCACGGGGTGTTTAACCAATCAACATTTTCATTTTTCACTTTCATTTAATTGGATATGCAAATCTAAAGTATCCAGTGAATAACGAGATTTTCACAGACCTGTTGCCAGGCTAAGTTGCTACAGAGTATAGAGCTAAAACTTGGTGTGCATTATATTAGCAAAATCATACATGTTAACCTATGAAGTTATTATTTCGCTCATAAAATAGTCAATTCACTTCATAGTATATCCTGCGAAGTGCTTTCAGACGCGTCTCGAAGGCGCGATTAGGCACTATATCAAATGCAAGCATTATCGTTAATATCAGAGTGGAGCGTCAATCATATATTTAAACATTGGCCATTTTTGAAAAAGAGGCTACAAGAGAGCACGCGATTACTGAAAGGCTCATAGAACAATGTTAAGTGCAAACAAAACCAGTAACTTCAGGGCTTTTAACCCAATTTGTTCTCGCTAGCCAATGCCACGATGACTCATCAAATCCGTTTTACTTCTGAAAGCTTACTGTTGCTACTGAATCAGCAATGTGGTGGCATGTTTAGCATAATTTTTTCCCTTTTTTTGCTTACCTCGGGGTTATAGTTCGATTCATGTGCATATAACAGTTTAAAAATTGTACCTGTTATTCCTCTCTTACCCGCTTGACACAATTTGGTGTATTTCCCTTTGGACCAGAAAGAATTTGCTTAAACGATTGATTCTGCAGCAGAAGTTATTATTGTTCTGAAACCCAGAGAGAACAAATCCTCTGGATTGCCCCCAATGCGTACTTTAAATACAACAACTTGCATTTACACAGCGCCCCTCACGCAGGGTTGGGTCCCAGAGCGCTTGAGTGATCGGAGCACGACGCTGAGCCAGGGGGAGGGGGGGGGATGACTGAAGGCACGGTCGAAGAGGAAGGTCTTCAAGCACGACCTGAAGATGGGGAAGGAAGAGGCAAGGTGGAACTGCAATACCGTGCGATTAACTTACTCAAAACTAATATTTTACATTTCACAGTACACTGGAGACTGACGTGCAAGTCATGCTTGAATACAAAACTGAAAAAGTGTCCACAAACAACCCTTCCAATGTTTAGTGGGTAGTGAGACTGTGGACCTTGCTGCCTGAAGTGGTGGCTGAATTAGATGGTTATAGAATAGATAGATGCCTTCAAGAGGAAGCTAGACCTTCACATGAGGAAGAAGGGAATGGAAGGGTATGGGAGGGAATAAGGAATGGGTGAAGACTTGTGTTGAGTATCAACACTGGCACGGACTGGTTGGCTGAGTGGCCTGTTTCTGTGCTCTATGTTCTTTGGACAATCTTTGTAGTTTAACAAGTACGTTGCCTACACTCCCTGTATTTTAACAGTGATGACTTGTGAGGTCCTTTTTAGACATTTCCACCGTGATAAGACTCTATAAAAATGAAAGCCTTTTCTTATTGTGTTGAGTGCTCGTTACCACGACCTGAAAAATTATATTAAATTGCTACAATTTAGTTCTGCAAGGACCCAAATATTGCAGTTGGTTAGGCTTTTGATGTATTTATGATAGTCACATAAATGTAATGAATATTTGCCAATAAACGGCAAGATAAATGTTAATCAACCATCTCAAATAACTAATTCTCTTTCCCTCTTATTCCCCACCCTGCATATATATAATACGTAGAAAGTCTCCTTTAGCCAAGAGGATAAACAAGATGATCCAGGCTACAACTCCTTACAACAGCTTAATCTTAAACTAGAAGAGGTATGCTTTTGTTAGGTTAAGTTATGAAGCACATCTTAGATACTGCTAGACTATCTTCCTCTCTCTGCTTTTCCCCCATAACATCTAGTTACATAGATTACATACATACATAGTCACCAGATTACTGGGCTACTAAAATTCACGCTGATGTTGCGCACGGTTTGATAGATTTTGACATGTTATGAGAGTTTTCATAAAAACAAGGTGAAGTAGATAGAGCGTCTGCTGAAATATTAAAATGTTTTCAAATTTATGGGTGATCTCAATTTTCAATTCGAGAAGTAATTAACTCCAGAACTCTTTTAATCCTAGTTCGAATTGTTTCTGGTTTTCAAACCTGTATACATTATATTATGTCATTAACCTGTAAATGTAAAACAGAAGACATCAGTTCATTTTGATACTTTCTGGAAAGTTTATAAGAAAAGTGGAGAAATATTGGCCAATATGAAATCACTATGAACATTGAAAAAATATTTATTAATATAAAGACTGCAAATGGGAATCGTAATGTAGAAGTTATACATTGCACTTAAAGCAGGATAAGTATGGTAACGAAGTACAATTTTAACAATGAAAATAAATGTTGCAAACTTTACAATAATCAATGAAAAGATACGAAGCGATTGTACTAACACAAAAAAATACAAGCGTCCCCGTTTGGTAATCTGATCTTTATTTAAAACTCATTACAGCTATTCACAATAATACTGGATGACACTAATGAAATGGTTTAGCATATAATATTACAGTTCGGAGGATAGGATTTATTTTTATACATATTTTTATATTCAAAATGCTACCCCACTCTGTGGCATTATTTATATCTTACATGGATACATTGGCTGCACTTTCTACAGATGATCTGGAAATGACACAATACTTTATCTGCATAATGTACGCAGGCACCACTTCTATGTAATCTCCCAATGAAAAGATCGATGCGAATATGCTGTAAAGATGCACCATTTCCAGACCCCCAAAAGCTAACAATAATGTTCAAAGGATCAACTTTTTATTTACTCAAGACATTCATCAGACAAAATTGCAGGTACAAATGTTAATTGTCTTTGATTACCATTTCAGATAAGATTTGGGGAGTATTGAAGGTTTGAGGAATGTTGCTGTTAAGTGTACAATTTGTTAAACTTTGGATCAATAATCATTTCAAAACTTTTCACTGGCCCAAACGTGTTCTAACTTTACATAATGTTCGCATTCGTCGGCAACTTTGCTACTGTCAAGATTATTCATATACCGGTTCAAAACTATGCTGTTTGTAGAATTTTTTAGAACATTTATAAAATAATGATTTGTAAATAGTATTGCAATTTATATTGTATTTAGTTAAAATAGTAAAATCTTGGGAAGGGGTTGGGGTGCATACCAAATATTATGGGAAAAAAGATCTGATCTGACAATCAGATGAATGCCACAGACTAATAGGGCCTGTCTCTAATAATATATATATTTTTAAAGGAGTGATATACACAACAGTACATTGAAAACTTCTTCAAACTTCAATTATGATCTTTAAAAATTTATAAAATGCTGAGGTACGGTAGAAACTGTCTAGTAACCTGAGATGCTGTTAAGTAGAACTGAAGATACAAAGAGGCAGCAAAACGGAACAATCAAATTTACAAGTTCATTTGAGTACATTAATATTCTCGTAACTAGCCCTTGTTTCTAATTCTCTCTGACTTTTTAACATAAGCAGCACAAAGTTTTTTTTTGCCTTTTTTTTAATAAAACGTAAAACAGTGACACACACACACACACACAACCGACTGAAACCAAACCAGAAATACTGGAAATCCACAATGGGACAACCAAGACGTCTGAAGGAGAAAGATAGGTTAACGTTTCCCAGGCATAACCTTTAATCAGAACTGAAAACAGTGGACCGACTGCAAGATCCCGTAAATCGACCTCGAGGACGGGAAGCAACAAAACACAACCAACTGAACTAGTTCAGATTCCATTGTTCGATCGCACATAGCAGCTTGTGAAAAAAGTTTATTTTCCTACACAATAATTTGAAAACTTGAGTGGGCTGGAGGAGGCTTGATTCATACGGTGCTTCAGTGCCTTTCTTACTAAGTGTTGAGTAATAACATTTAATATGTGACAAAACAGCCAAGGCCAACAAAGGGGAACCGCAGGGTCATCTGATCTAAACTTGATTCGTTTTTTTGTTCCCCCCCCCCCCCCCCCCCTTCACTCAACAAGTAAGTAGCACTTGTAGCACTCAACCCAATTTTTACCAAAATGACAAAGAATTTCAAATAACTTGTGTGCGGAATGTCTCAACGGCTTTGGATGACAACCTCGTTATGCCAAGAAATTGTCATTACCGGCTCCTTCAACCCCAAAGTACTTCATTCTGGATTTAAGTCTGCAGTCAATTCAGTTGTTTTGCACAACTTTGCGCGCGCACACACGCACACACGCACACACAAAAAAAACCATAGCAGCAGGTTTATTTCAACAATACACCCAAGACAAAAAGTGATGTAAGTAACAAAATGTAAAAACATCAGCCGTTTTAGCAGCACAAAAAAAACAAATCACTCCCGGTACCAAACCAGGAATGCACAATGATCTCGATGCCGTTGGAATGGTCACAAGTACTTAACCTCATCAACAAAAGATTCTCACAATTGGTTCATTTCATTATACTTTTGTACATTTTTGCCACTTATTTTTTTTGGGGGGGCAGGGGGGGGGGCATTGTGTTTTTTTGAATGAACGCACCATAACGTAATCCACAATCGGAGCTTGTTATCATCATAATATCCTGACCCTTAAAAAAAATTACTTTGAGGCGATCCAATTCAAAAATCTGTGACGGTTCATATTCCATCCGAGCACTGATAACTAAATATTCTCTCCAGGAAAATAACATGGAAATTGTTGTAGCTCAGTTCTTTCTAACCTATGATTTACAACTGGCAAGTCTTAATTAGCAGAATGACTGTATTTCCCAGGCCTGGATAGGGAAACTTGTTTTGGCATTCCATAATATTGATGAGTTTAAATCATAAAATTACATAAAAAGTTACCTCCTTAACTGAAGAACAAGCAATCCTGACTTCAGAAATCTAGAGCCATCGGTTAACGGTTTTTAACGTTTCATAAAGGAAAATGGGACACCCAACGGGAACAACCAGTGGTTAACAGGTCCACAAAGATTCAACATCGTCTTCAGAGCACAAAGGAATTTAAATGAATCACTTTATCTGGAACACTTCTGTTAGCACTACTTTTAGAAGCTGCTGAAATTTTCTTTTTTCAACTGGTTACAGGAACTGTGGGCCTTGGTGGACAGTTGCCATGAGAATTGTTCGTATTATGATTCAAGCAATGCTAAATTATACAGTAATTTGCATTAAAAAATTCCTGCTACTGCAGGAATGCAATTTAAGATATAACTATAGACAAAAGACTGCAGCGTGTATGTTCCTATCCACCTCAGGCAGAGTGATAAGAATACAAGTTTACCATCAGAAACATAATTCCAGTTCACTTGGAAGGAAGTAGGACTAAAGCGCATATCAGATCAAATGATTTCGGTTTTCAAAAACTTCACTTGCACGAGTGGTGGCCCATTAATTTATTTCCTGTTATTTTTTTCACCAAAAAAAAAAAAGGGGTAAAGGTGATGTGCTCCAAAATAAAATTGAATGAAGCCAAATTGCAAGTACCCGAGAGGGAATCGGAATGCCAGTATACTGTGGTGGAGCCTCGCAGCTCTTCAGCAAGTAAAACTCTAAAAGGGAGGTGTATTCTGTGATTTTATCAAATAATGAACTTGATTCCTCTGTTTGCGGAAGATTAACTTACGAGAAACGCAAGTTTGATATTAAACCTTGTTCATCATACGGTGACAACTCCTTTAAAACGCCTACAAATGTAGTTTAGGTTACTAGCAAGACAACTGCATTTGCCACAAACTCAAATCTTAATTTTTTTTAAAAGTGTCTTCCAATCTTTGTCGCCTTTCTTTACGTCTGATCACGCCTATTTTGCTAGAGCAGTATACTTAGTTAGCGCTTTTGTGTTTTTTTTGGGGGGATTACTAAAATCTTAAGCAAAACTTGGCAAGCGAAACCCTTTACTGATCGAGGAACAAGAAAGCGTAATTCTAAAGCACGATTAAAAAAAAAAATGCAGTTTCATACCTTTTGTGTTCATAAACTGCAAAAACAAAAATTAAACTCAGCTATACTTTAAGTACAGTCATTCTTGGGAATGGTGAAACATATCTTGGCATAAAGTGTACTATGGTATGGATTCATCTCATCTCCGGGTAATGGTCAAAGATGAACAGTGCATTTTAACGTTACCAGTGACATTAAAACTAAAAGTTTCTGATCATATTTGTAAATTAGGGTTAACCCAGTTTCCATTGAAAACTACTCTTTTTAATCAAAGCATTTATGACCACTAAACTCTGGGGGGGGGGGGGGGGGGAGGGGGAGAGGGAAATGGAAGGACTAATAACATCTTATAATAAATGTTAATGGTTTTATAATTATAAGAATATCGGAAAATAACAATCTCGGGTTTTACACAACTCGACTATATCCCAATGTAATGTCACCTCGAAAGGTCAGGACAGTCTTATCATTACTGGCTGGAAAAGGTAGAAGCAAAACTTGTAGTTTTAGACTGAACATTTAAGTTTTGTTTATATTGAAAGGAACATTAAAAATACATTCCTTCAAAGTTCTCAGCCTGTCCAATGGACAATCCCAAAAGCTTTCAAAGAACCACTGGCAGCAAAGCCTGAAGAGATTCATCACGTCTGCAGTCTACTGCATTAATTTGAATGCAAGTGTTGATGAAACCACATCAAGGTGCTCACAGCAATGGGGCTCCTGCTCACCAATCACTCAGTCCAACTCTGATTTATACAACACTTATTTGTGGCAAAGTGTAGAATGAAGAGTCAGAGTTTTATAAAATTAACTTCAAAGGCTTTAGCTGAGATAGGTTGGATGGACGATAGCAATCAATACTCACTCTTCCTTCAGTAGGTAAATGTTATACAAAAATGCATCAATCTCAAAAGCTACAGAATCACTTACAAGTTTAGCTCAGACAGAATTATAGACAGTCATTTGCTACTATAGACCCTTCCTTGACATTATGCTGATGATTCTGAAATATTGAATCTTTTCAATATACTCCGGCTCTTTACATGGACACCTAGATAGGTCACCTTCCAGGAACACATGGGGGAATATAGCACTTATAGCTTCTTTAACAAGATTCATGAACCATAAGCTTATTTGCTGCAGGATTTAATCGCAGTTTCCGTCTCTCGAGTGTAATTCCTTTGTATTATTCTATTCCTGAATCTATTCCTGAGGCCGCAGTACATTGCCTTAGACGCCTCATGTGTCCTCAGTAATTTCCATTATGAAGAGCTGGCCACATGTGCCACAAGCTGATTTTCTTCACAATTAAAGGCTTTTGGACCAACAGCATTGGAAGCCAATAGGCAGTCTTGCTCCAGCCAAGACTGGTTTCCTTTAATATTTTCAAATTGGACTATGAAAGAGTATCTTGAATTTTTGGTGATATTTTTGACCTAGGATATGACCAACTGTGCCATCTCACGGGGTAGAATGATATAATACATAGTGGATGAGTCTCATGGAAAAGATGGCATCAGAATTTTATCTGTTGCGATCTTTATTCTTGTTGAGTTTTAACGGAAATTTGATATGGAGATGAAAACTCATACTCTTAAGAAGCATTGAAAATCATAGCAGATTTAAATTTCCATCACCATCTCTAATATTCTAAAATGGTCCCTTTGTTTGCAATTAAAAGATTATGTGATTGTTTCCTTCAACGCAGCATAGTTGCAATAAATTCCATTCTAAAGGATTGTTTTTTTTAAAAAAAAATCATTTTAAAATAAGGCTTGCAATAGTTTCCAACTCTGGGCCTTGAAGCTGAAACTTTGGTCCACAGCTTAAGTTCCAGATTTCATGTTCGCTTCCCTCCCACTTCTAAGTTTCTACTAATGCTTTCCTCCTTTACAAAATAAATCATGGAAATTTTGCTGTGCTGTATGTTGGAAGCTTTGAGGATTACTCTTGCTTTATTGCAGCCCTGTTTCAAATACCTTATACACTTCTGTCATTACACTTCACTGCACAAAATTTAGTTCAAGCCTGTTAATTAGGATATCACAATGTAAAATTAAAATATCCCATTTATCAGACTGGCGCCATTAAGCAACATATCCATTAATATATCCACACTAATTTAACACAACGAAAATGAAAAGCATGCTTCGGGTAATGCCCTGTGCTTCTAAAATTAAAAAAAGGAGTTGAAACTATCTGGCTTCAAACGTCCTAAATTTGTAATTACCGGGTAAATTTGAAAAAAAAATTCTGAGGAGACTATTTGCATTCAGGGTCTGCTTATTTGAGGAGCTGGACGTTATCAAACTGCATGTTTAGTAGCAAATAAGTTAAACTCAACAGAATGACTACAAACACATAATCCCTTCCACTTCTCCTCAACCTATACTTTGGGGATGGTATTAAAAATTTATGGAAATCGGAACCTCTCAACATTTATTGCAATTCCCAACCCCCCCCCCCCCCCCCAAATGACTAGGGCTAGAGATGGCCAACAAATCACAATCCAACTTTCTTTTATGTAATTCACAGACAGCCACAGGATTCAGGAATGTCAAGAGATAATCTTTGCTCTATTTTCCTTCTCACAAATGCTCCTCTTCTCTTACGTTTGTGCTTCCTTCAGCGTTTTTCACCCCGCATGACAATGCAAAATATAGATATAAAGCAGTGTCCTTTCAGATAGCATTGTAGTACTAAAATAACAAAGGCAACTTCAAGATCATAATCCACAGGGCCAGGCTGTTCTCTTTTTTAAAAAGAATTCCACTAGGACTGTCACAGATTGACGTCCCTTACGTCTGTAGGAGTGCTGGTTTGGTCTGGCTCATGTACAGTTTTTGAGGACATGGCTTGTTCCTGCTGTTGTTGCTGAGATTGTTTTAAGCTCTCTGCCAGGGCAGCTTCAATCTGTTCTTGGCAAGCCTTCAGACAATCCTGGTATAAAGAACAATGACATTAATGATCAGGTAAATGAGACTGTGCACCTGAGATGAAAAAAAAAACCAGGATAGATTAGCGCCAATTCATAGAGGGAGCTCTTGTTAATAGGACGATGCAGTAGTAGACCGTTTCCCATCGCTAAGCTGTCTTAAAAACTTCCTTTAAAAATATACGTTACTCTTGTGATGCCTAATTTAATTAGCAGTGTGGGTGAACTTCAACAAGTGTAAAGTTTCCCCATAAGAATTAATCTGAACCTGAATTTATTTCAGGAGCATTTTATTTCCAAATGAATTCATCTGCATGTAGATATTATATGTAGTTATTGAGTCTTAATTATACACCTCCACGTGGAAAGGGCAGAGGAATGAACCCAGAAAGAGGAGAAACGTGTTTCTCAAAGATTTGGAACTAGGCACAGGGGAATTAATATTTGTCCCCAGTTGGTGCATTAATGTGCTGCGACACAGAAGATGGTTAAGTACATGTAATCACACGTGGACAGGATTATCAATTCAAGCGCATTCGAACTTTATAAATCTGCTTCGTTAACCCTTTGTCGGCTCATCAAAGTCGGAAGTTATTTGCTTGTAGTGAAAAGAGGTCAAGAAGCAACAACACCTTGCCATTTGCTTTCTCTTGTTAATCCATTTCAAATCCTGTCTTCCATTTCTCTCATAAATCCATTTTTCTTTCTTCTCTATCCACCCCCCCCACCCCCCCCCCCATAGAATAGAAAACTGTGCATGAGGATGAGCGACCGCCTTCAAAACTTTCATACCTACAATATCATACTTTTCACAGTAAACGCGCACACTCTACACTATGAGTTAAACCCTCAGCTACAATTAAAACTTGTGACTATTGAATCAGACTAACAACCACAACTTTTTCACCAGCTTGCCACGCAGAGTACCAACAGTTTCTAGTAAAGCTAAAGCCCAGATAATATCAAGCCTTCCCAAAACACTTGCGCCCAACTGCTTTTGCAAGCTAACAAAAAAAAATGTTTGCAGCAAATGCTTCTAAATTGCTTGGTTCAGATCGAAAAGTCAGTATCGTTTGTATTTTCCCCCAGTTTCAGTCTGTTTCAGGGTATTCAAGCTGAGCCTGTTTTGCATTATTATAGGTGCATGTAGAGCAAAGGAGGGTGACCTTTCAAACAAAAGTTGGTGGCTGCAGTGGGCAATGAACAGGCTTAATCCTTTGCATACTCTGACCTATAGCATACCTCAGTCTACACTTCTCCACATACATTATAAATTGGTTAAGATGTATACTGAACACAACATAGATAAGAGCAGAACCACCCATGTAGGTATTGATGGAGAAGCTGGTTGTTTATTGCCATACTTGGATAATTGTTCTTCTCATTAATGTGTTAGGTTTTTAGGACTCGGGAACAAAATAATGTGTTAGGCAGGGATTTCTGCATCAATCGACCAGACTCAGAATAAATCTCCTATTCCGTCCCAATAATCTGCTTCAACTCCTCCACCAGTGTGATGTTTCCCTTTTCCATATCTTTATTGTCTTGGAGATGTCATATACAGTGCCAACGTATGGCTGTTTTTCTGCCGTGGATCCATCTCCACTAAGAGATGGGTTGCACCTGTCCAAACTAATTCCACGTAGAGTTTGTATAACCAACCAAACAACAGAAAGAGGCAGCCAATTGTCTGTAGATGCTGAGTGGAAGCTAAATGTGATCTCTTCCAAACGAGGGAACATTTAAATGATGAATTATACAGGGATACGGTTTCCAGCTCTTCTCCTTGGCAGGGCGTGTGGAGAGGCAACGGCGGACATAAAATAAAAAATAAAAAAGGAACTGAAGAATGGGGATGATTTGGAGTTTTGCTTCCTAATGGTCCAGCTCTAAAATGCACTTATTAGTGGTCTGGAGTGAACAGAAATAGCAAAGAGTGCATCATCTGACAAGAATAAATTGAGGGCAATCTATTCTTACTAGAAATGTACAATAAATGCTTAGAAGTTCACAGTGCAAGCAGAGGAAGTGGTGAACCGTAACTCCACTACAAATTACAAAGAATCCTCACCTCCTACACCGATGGAAATATTGCAATCATTGACCCCAACTTGTTATACAATAATGTGTTAGGGTCCACAGCCACACCAGTCACCCACTAAAACAAGATACATATCTTTACCCAGTCAGCTTTACTTATAAAAAAGATAGTAGTTGCTTTTTCGGCTCTTTTAATAATCCAGGGGTTTTGTTTATAACTATTTTTTTCTTCAAAAGATGAATTGTGTTCCATGCTATTGTATTCAATTGCCGTATGAATTGATGTACTCGGATCCAATGTATAACAATACGTTTTAATCTTAACAAGTCCTTTGTGCTTTAAAAAAAGGCCAAAAGTACAACTCTTAGTCTGTTTTTTTCCATCAGATCTGGACTCCCAATAAAGGAATGAATGCAGCCTCCCATCTGTTCCCTTTCAACCAAACAGCCTCACGAGGCAGTATACAAATACCTAAGCTTTTGGTTTTGTCTGCATATAGGTAGTAGTAGTAACCTTAGAAGTAGTGGGATTCCTTTCACCTATTGCAGCCTATTATCCATCCTCTGTTCCTTGCTCCAGCATTTCTAGCCCACAATGCTAAGGCACATGCCTCATAGAGGCTTTTTTTTTATCTTCACCAGCTGTCGGGAGGGAGGGAGGGAGAGACTGGGGTTGGGGGAAAGAGAAAATAGTTGAAAACTAAAGGGAACAACAACTATTTTTTAAAAAAAATAAAGCCAGCTGGGGTGCAGGTAACACTACTGCAGACCAGCAGTATTGAGTGCTTGACAGGAACAAGATCAAAGAGCGAGAATAATACACTGTGGTAAACTCATCCCAGTCTTTCTGCTGCGGAATGAATAGCAGAACAACGGCCTTTGGGGCCCAGTCGCACCATAATTGGTTCCAATTACCAGGATCAAAGGAGAAGCAGGAAACTGGATTCTTTCTGAACAGCCTACCCAACGAACAGCTTGGCCATTTCTTAGTTCACGTACTCTCCCCCCCTTACCACCCCCCCACACCCCCACACACACACACATTCTCAAAACAAAACAAATCACAAAAGGAAAAGCAACGAATCTCTCAAAAATATGTAAGCAATTTTGGAGGACATTAATTAACGTTTCGATCTTAGTACTCAGTGCAAAATATCTTACTTTATTTACCAAGAAGAGTGAGATCTGTATCTATTCAACTACACTCATTTCTTGGGGAAAATTAACTTGCGCATAAATTCGTCACTGGAACAAAAGAGCTGATACTTCTCGTGCTGTATCTTCGTCAATTCAACAGGAACAAGTTCTCTGTTGTAACTGCTAGAATTAATTGTTGATCACTGGTTTTAACTGGCATTTAGGAAGGAAACATGCCTTCCAAGTATACCATATTAATATACAGGCAAGGCACCATGACATCATTTTTCTAATCAAAGACATTTTCCACGCACCATAGGATGAGCGCCACATCGTTTCACACTTGCGATGTGATTAAAAGTGGGTGCATCAATTTGTGGAGTGCCTCATCTCAATCCCCTAAATAGCCAAGGATGGTCTATTGAGTTTCAGTTGCAAAAAAAAAAGGAAATCAACAGGTGCCGGATATAGCACTCCAAAAGTTGTTGAAAACCATAAATATTCGCTTTGAGGCAATAAGCATAGCTACAAGTTTGAAATATGGCAAGTTTGATGATTTTTCACAGGAGAAAGTTCCATGGAAAGACATTCTGCTTCTCTGTAATATTCCCTGGGATCAGAGAAATGGAGAAAACGCATATAGAAACATCAACTACCATGAGAGAAATAGGCTGTTCATGTATTCAGAAGAGCACATTTCCAGACTTTGAATGGAAATCGGGGAGTTGCATTGTTCAGCGGCAACCTCCTACCCTGAGAAGTCCTGAGCTGCCTCTCTTCGAAGTGAATGGATGATCTGCTAAGCAAGCTGGTCAATCTCACACCCTGTGGCTCACACTCGGTCCTGGGCTGATATTGAGAAAGCTCAACATACAAACCAGTCAAGAAAATAGAATAAAACACAAGCCCTTTACAGTACTGATGATAGTTGCATTTGATACAGTGCCTTTCATGTTAGGAGGTCATCGTAAATGCTTTACGGGATTTACTGTAAGGTGTAGTGACTGTGTGTTTGTTGGCAGAGTTCATTTGGTTACCTAATAAAGCCTGGATGGCAATAAGAAAAAAGCACAGACCTTGCATACCAGCATCACTGATTTTAAAGAGGAGTGCAGTGTGAAAAGAGCCCTGTATTTAACAATATCAGTGCAATAGACTGGCAGGAGAATACTGAAGAACTTTAGGACAAGGAAGATCTTACAATATTTTCACTCAACAATGCATTGAGAATGGGATGGTTTACACAGAACTTTCCTCGACCCTTAAAGCACATCTGACAAAAGATAACACTTAAAAAGAAGCAGACGAACGTGGCCAGGTTTCTAACAATGTTCAGCTCCAACATGTCTCAGTAACAGAAGACAGTTTCCTTTTTGAGCCTCAGAGTTTGCATTCCAGCTACTGGCTATCAATTGTTTTATTGTCGCTGTGCTTTCCTGCAAAGCAAAAATCCTAGTCAAACTTTCGACAGAGCAAAATCCTAACAAACTTAAAAACTCCCCTTCTCAATACACCAGCACTGCAATATTTTTGCTGGCTGCTACATTTAATAACCTAAACCTACGCCTTGTTATATTAGAATGACATGAATTTCTAATCAATGAGGCACCAATAGATAAAATCACCAAAACAATGGATAGACAAGATTGTCATCAACTTGAGGACTCCTCTGTGACGCAAAATGTGCTCAATACGATAGTTGTTCTTATTCAGTAAGTGGTGTCTCAGCTAGTGGTTTAAAGGTGAATCAAGGACACCGTGTGTGTGTGGTATTTAGAGGGCTAGCACCTTCAAGTGTTAAATACCATTGGGCCTCAAATCTGGAATGGATCCAGTTAAACTCCTTAAACAGCTCAAGCCTCATCATCAAATGGCAGGCCTGTTTCTGTTCTCAGGGCTGCTTTTTAACCGGGCCAATTGTGAAAAAGTTTTGTTAGATGTCAGCCAGGACACTGCCCTACAGAGAAAGCCACGCTAAGGCAGGACTTTCCACGTTAGAAGCAGATAAAAGGAGAAAAGCAAAACAAGAGAAAAGTTATATATATAAGAAGAAAAACTCGTTGTTCGGAGAAAGTTACGTTTTCTATTGTTTCTCTTGTTGATATGAGGCTTTGGGCCCACGCAAAGACTACTGCGTCTGGTTAGCAAATTGTCTGGGTGTTTACTCCGGTCACCTACCAGTTCTGTGCAGGTGATCTTGGCTAGCAGCTCTGTCAAAGACTCATCCGAAAGCGAACTACATGAAATTCCAAGTCCACGGATTGCTGCTGCTATACTCCCCGTTGCTATCATGGAAGGCGGGTACATGGCAAAACTGAAATCTGAAATAACAGAGGACGCACACAGAGTAAATTCCAGGCATTTCCAAAACATTTGAGTGCATTAAAACACAGTAAAGAATGTAACTATCAACCGGCTAAAAATTCCATCATAGAACGTGAATGATGTATTGAAGAGGTCTTAAGGACGTTCAGGTTACAATTTATAGGCGACACTACACGACTTTAATTGTGTACATCTGTATGTGTGGGGCGATCAATAACTGTAGGAAAAACGTTCACTGAGTCTATATTGTGTATCTCACAGAGGCTGGTTATGCAGTGGGATTAATTGAGGGCTTGAGAGCGCATTGGTTGGCCATCACCTCCGTTCATGAATGGTGCACAGAATAGAGGAGCTGAGATTTGTCTAAAACAAATTGTAGAAATTCAGGCTATCTATCGAACATTTAGAGCGACTACAAGGGTGTAAAGCTTCTGGAGTGACTGGTCAATTTATATTTTTCTTTACTCAGAGAGTTGTGGCATTCGCTTCCTAGGAGGGCTGTTGATGCATTGTTGGTGGGAATGTTTAAGAGGGAAGTTGACACAAATACTCGGCTAGTAACCTGTATCAGAGGGTATAGGGAGAAGGCAAGCAAATGGTATTGAGTTACAGATCAGCCATGATCTAAAGAAAATGGCAGAGCAGGCTTAACAGGCTAAATACCTACTCCTGTTCCTACGTTCCATGCCTGACAATGAGTACGTATGTTTGCTCTTTTTTTAAAAAAAAAGTAGAAACAAATTAAATCTTAAAGACAAAAAGAATAAATCTTAGCATGAAGGTGACTTATTAACTATAAAGCCAGAAGGTAAAACAGCAGAGTACCTGTGGCACACATGGCAATGAAGGTCAGAGTGTGTTTCTTAATAAGTTCCAGCTTGTCTACTGGAAAAGCCAGTTTTCCCAGGATATGTTCAATAAAATCATTTGGAGTTACAGCCGAGAGATCCCATTTCAGCTTCCCAAGAACAACTATCTCCCAGTCCTGGGGAAAAGAACATATAAGCGTTACATAATTGGCCAACATTAACTTATTTGTTTTTAAATCCAAACTTTTAATGTATTTATCTTTTAAGACTAGGCATCTAAAACTGAGCATGTGTCTACTGGAGAAATTGGTTCCCCTGTGCTCACCTTTTACTGACGGATGATAAAGCTGCATTAGGGGGAAAAAGGGACAGATGGGTCTATGCTGACCTGGTCCTCTCGTTTAGTATGTGGTGTAACTGTACACCCCGGTGCTTAACATGATCTTTCCAAACAACAAAAACAAAAATCTGTCTCCATTTATTTTCTTTGGCACATATTCTTTAGGTTCCCTAACGCATAAGTTGGAGGAATGACAAAACATATCCCGTGATAGAAGCAAACCAGTTTATTTATTCCTTTAGCAGCGTGGATCAAACTTTATGTCACTTTCCATAACATTGTCACTAGGGCCTCAGTAAACTGCCCACACCCATGCTGCACTGACCAGTTCTCCAGGTGTGACCCTTACACCAGAGCATTGCGCACCTTGAACATGCGTTCTAGGAATCTCAACTTAATAGGCCACTCAGGCGAGCATCTTGTTTTGTTTATTGCTGTCTCAGACTATTTGAAATATGTTAAAGCAATGAGTTGATTTAACACTTTCAGTTGTTCTCCCTTGGCATCATGTTCTATCATGGAATACATTTGCCTGCCTCCTAGTTTTAATTCCTATCTCCAAGAAGCTTGCATTTATCTGCATTCAACTTCATTTGCCACTTATCAGCCCAGGCGCATATCCTGTCAAACTCTCTTCTGTAGCATTTTTTGTCTACCTCCTCTGATTCCACAGGATGTCTAGTTTGGGTGTTATCTGCAAGTTCACTGTCTGCAAATCTAGAACATTTATGTAGACAGTAAAACTGACATCAGTCATATCAGTCGGGACCCCAACATTTAATAGAACTTACATGAAGTCCGAGTTACAGGCAAACTGTATAAGTCATATTAGACCCGATTTAATCAATAATCTACACTATGCATGTGTAATTCAGTGCAGGCATTAAGAGCACCTGCAGAAACAGGTCAAGGCTACATTTCCCGTGATTCAATGCGTCTTGGACCTGTTGCCTCATGCGCACTTACTTCCCGGCAAGCCTTGGAATCGCATTGAATCACGGAAATATTGGTCTTTTTGACGATCAGGATGCCTTTCAGATTAGAATAGTTATTTATACTCAGTCAGTGCTGAGACTGCAGGCCAATATTATTGTGCCTGCCATGTTGTGCACCATTGGCTGCTACGTTTCGCCCACAAAATAGTCAATTCACTTTACAGTATATTCTGTGAAGCACTTTTGAGACGTCTCGAAGACGTGATCAGTCTCTGTATCAAATGCAAGGATTTTTATTATTTAAATTAACCAATTAAAAAATCCATAGAAATGAAGAAAACAAAAGGAATTTTGTCACAGTTGATTTTTTTTTTAGAAAAGGAATCTTAAAAGAGCCTTTTGTTAAAAAAAATATTGTCACACAAGTTTCTGATCTATAGATTCGATTCCATAGTTACAAAGGCACTCAAACTGATCAGCTTCAGTTGGGTAAAACCCTCCAATCTTTCCCTCAAAATTCTCCCATGGAGAAATGGACAGTAAAACCAACCACAAGCTAAGCTGTCACAGGCTCTCGGCCATTTTAATATGTCTAATATCCATCAATTCTTTAACCGATTGATTTCATTATCAGGGTGGGCGGATACATTAGACTGAGTTATCGGACGGATCTCCCTTAAGTGCTGGGTGCCACGCCCAAGCACTCTGAAAACTAATGACATTTTCTTCGGTCCGCTTTGGTTTGAGCAACAAGACTGTTGGGTCTCTATCCCACACTACTCGGCCCTATTTGAAGGGAAGAGCTGAATGTCGGATCCAAACTATTTGGTGCAATAGCGACAAATACAACCTGCGTTTTGTATTTATAGGCTATCTGACCTATTAAAATGCAACAGTCTTCAGATTGCAACAGACCGTCTAGTCTGGTTTTGCAGAGATGGTGTGCTCTGAAGCTCCCCACATCCATCAAGGCTCGAAATGAATGTACTGTGTACTGCTGTAGTCACACCTGCAGTTGTATGCTGGGTGGCTGAACAGTAAGTAACAAGATTTGAACCAGTGCACAATTTCTCAGGACATGGAAACCCTGTATAAAGCTGTAACTGATGCATTGGTATCTGGCTGCATAGAAGTGTATGATCCCGATACTGTTAAAGATGGCCGTGGACCTAGAATAAGTTATTTTAGGACGGCCCCCCCCAGAACTCCACAACTGGCGTAACTTGTCAAATAAAAGCTTAACGTGCGTTCTTGTAACTTCTTGCGGTTTTAAGAGAACGATTCCAAGTTGTTTCAGGAGGTGGGGGGGCAAGCCATTCCTGTTTAGTGACATTCTCAGTTAGTCTAAAACAAAAGTACACGATAGCCAAATCAGCAAACCTTGACATATCTCTGCAAGTGGCATGCCATTTGGATGATTTTTATAGGGTCCCTGCACAGCAACTGCAGAGAGATTTGTTTTATTTATTGTACTACATTTGCAGGCTTATCTTAGATCTGTAATTTGTAGCTTTATTTATGACTTGATTCACAGAGAGCGGAGAGATGTATCTGCCTTCAAGTGGCCTCTCAGCGATTGATCTCTGCAAACAATCATAGCAATCAAGCAATATCACGGCTGATATAGTTAGCAATTGTAAGTATTCAACCAACTGCATTGCACTTATTTTACCTCTCGATGCCGTGTAGAAATTTCAAACTAAATCAATTTACTGAACGAACAACTATCGTACACTGAGATAAATATGTAAATACACTTGATCAACTTTTTTTTTAAGTGCACCTGCGATGATCACGGTGGAAAATTAGCTGCAGAGCATGAGACTGCCAGTTGGTGCACCTCAGTTTAATTGCAAACTTCAGATGTTTAAGCCCACCTACCCACCGAGGGCAAATGTCACCGTTTCTCTACTAGGACTAGAGAATATGGTGAGGTGGATAACATTCTCTCACATTCTGCCCAGCCCTGCAAATGGCGTTACATCTCAAGAGAAGGAAACGTTGTTGGAAGACATGTCGGATCATTCTATTCCCGGTTTCAACCCCCTGCTCCTTACAAACGCAGGCCGGACCTACAATTGTAACTTCTCAAATTAGAAGGCGAACGCTTAGAAAGTAGACACAATTTATGGCAGGTGATGCAATTAATTTCATAATCACTAGGCGTCTCCAAAACAGTTCAAAGGTTCCAAACAACTTGACGATCAACCAATGTCAGCGCTTCAGCATTAAACAACTAAGCAGCCCCTTGGCTTTTAATCTGCCTGCATAGAAGCCGCGTTAAAAACTGTAGCCGCACGAATGTAAAACGTTCTGCGTTCATTTCGTTTTTTCCCCGAAACGCGTCAAGAAATTAAAAGGTTGTCCCCGGTGAAGTTAAAGGTAAAGCGATGTTAGTCGCGGAGGATAAAGCAGGTGTAAGGGTTAATTTTCCAGTACTTTTTTTTTATTGTTTTAAAATACTCTGCATGAAAGGGACATCCCTTTCTTACCCACTCGCCCCTTCCAAATCAATGGGGTGGTGGGGGGGGGATGTACAGTGCTATAATGGTTCTCCCACTGGAGGGCGCCACGTCCCCTTTCCTGATCAATGTCGCTCTGCACCGAACCCAATGAAGTATTAGAATTATAATCAATAACCAGTTATCCTGCGCGCAAATGCTGCCGTTCAACAGGCACTGCCCTTTCCCCCCCCCCCCCCCACCTCCCGCCTGTCCTCGGCCCGAAACGAGCCGCTGTATGTGGACCCGCGTCCGAAAATGAATGGCAAATTAAATAAAGTCGTTAGAATATGCGAGTTACCGCCAATGCACGAAGGAACTGGCCTTTGAGGGTTTTATTAGTATATATATGTATACATATATTAGTATATATATATGTATTAGTATATATATGTATTAGTATATATATGTATTAGTATATATATATGTCATTAGTATATATATATATGTATATATATATGTGTGTGTGTATATATATATGTATATATGTGTATATATATACACACATCATATGAATACGTAATATGGAATATGTCATATATTTTAATAAAATCTTCTGAATAGTAATAGCAGGGTTTGTTTTTTTTTTACCAGCAGGTCCTGTGGAGCGATTGAATTGTCTGTGTAAATGCAGAGCTTCTCAGCTGTTAGGGGGATGGTTTCTTTCAACTTGGATGCCAGAAACATGCAGACTGCCCCCAGCAGCTGGAGGTGACACTTTTTGGTTGGAACCGAAGATAAAAATCTATCCAGATAATTCATAGCCAACAGAAATACTTCCTCTTCGCATTTCTGCTCCTCGCACACCTAAAAGAGTTGGGGGTGAGGGGGTTGGGGGGGGAGTTGGGGAGAGACAAAAAGCAGAATCAATATGCATATTGCACTTAAAAAAAAGCTAAACATTTGAAGTCATTCCATGCCATTTTTTTTTGTGTGTGGGAGGTGGGGGTCAATTTAGTGAGTTTGACACATACAATATATATATATATATACAAATAAATAAAAACACTCAACTTTGTGGGGGGGGGGGGTGTTTTCACATCATTTGCATAAAATTGCCTTTCTAAAACATTTAACACTTGACTTATAAACAATCCTCTCTCCCCTCCCTTCCTCCACCCCCCCCCCCCAAAAAAAATCGTGAAAATGACAGCTTTGCACCCAAAGTGATCAATAATATGCATTCAGACTGAAATCAACAGCAGATGCTCAGGGTGGTGGTCTCTGATCCAAATCGATCAGCAAATTGTCTTGCAGCAGGGATGCAAATCTGAGGTGTAAATGGTTAGGGGAGGGGGTCTTTTTTTTGGGGGGGGGGGTTGGGTGCAAGTCACTTTGGCTATTGGCAACCAAGATGTTACTTACTCTGCCCTTTGGTGGGGTAGGGAGGGATGGAGGGAGAGGAGATGGAGAGGGAGAGGAGAGCAAAGGGTGGGGAGGGTGCAATGTTAAGTTGGGCAGAAGTCTTTCACAAGCATTTCATTAACATTTTTTAAAAATATATAGATATATATCTATATATCTATATTTTTTTTGGCCAAAAAAAAAGACCAGAGCAGTGTGTGACACTCCTGACTGGTTGCATTCTCAAGCAGCAAAAAGGCAATGGTACCCCCACCCCCTCCACCCCACCACCCCCTCCACCCAATGCCATTCAAAAGGAAAAAAAAACCCCAAAGACTTTTTGATAAGAGAGAAAGAGAAAGAAAAGAGAGAGAGAGAGAGAAGCAGCTCAAAAAAAAAGTTAAGTTTTTTCTCTCTCTCTCTCTTGAAGTGGAGTCAACATGGCGACAGTGTTGATCAGTGAGAGAGAGAGAGAGAGAGAAAGAAAGAGAAAGGGGGTGAAAAAAAACCTTTTTTTTAAAAAAAAAAGAAAAAAAAAACACACACACACACACACTTTTCTGTCTCGCACTTGGTGCCACATTTGCATCTGAATGGGTACAGTAAAGGGGAGAGAGAGAGAGAGAGAGAGAAAAAAAGAGCTTTGCTGCTGTTTGCAAAGAGGTTCTGAGCTGAGGTTTAAGTCGAGTTAAAAGTTTGCAAAGCAACTTGAAGGGTTTTTAATTCTTTTTATTCCAGCTCTTCTCTCTCTCTCTCTCTCTTTTTTTTGATGATGATGATGTTGATCTCTCCCTCTCCCTCTCTCTCTCTCTCGTTCACTCTCTCGCTCACTGCAAATACATATGCATATGTGCATATATTTCTACCTAAAAATGATATAAAACTGGTTCCCTGACACAGCTGTAAAGCACCACCTCACATATCCTGACTCAAAACACTTCTCTGCAAAGATGTGGGTTAGGTTCAGAACATTTATTACTATATATATATATATATACCTCACTGTATGTGCAGAGCATTTTATATTTATAGAAATTATAATATACAGAGAGATTATATTTATGGAGATTGTGTTATGGAATACAGAGATCACATAGATTATATCATATCACATATATGGAGTGTGCTCACATAGATTACATTTATTACAATGTATAAGGTGATATTTGTGGAGATTATATATATATATATCTATTACAGATTACATACATTTATATGGATTATCTATATCTAATAGAGGTGACATCCATATAGATCATATCACACAGGTCACACACACACACATATATATACAGATTATATTCATACAGATATTATTAGAAATTACACACACACACACATATATATATATAGATCATATTTATACAGATATTATAATAGGTTACACACAACACACACACACACACACATATATAGATTATATCCACACAGATATTATAGGTCACACACACACACACACACACACACACACATACATATATATGTAGATCATATTCACACATATATAATTGACTGCACACACACACACACACATATATATATATAGATTATATTCATACAGATATAGATCACACACACACACACATATATAGATCATATTATAACAGACTGCACACACACACACATGTAGACCATATTATAATAGATTGGACACACACACACATATAGACCATATTATAACAGATTGCACACACACACACACATATATATATACACATATATAGACCACAGTATAACAGATTGCACACACACGCACACACACATGTCGGTGTACGGGTGACCGTCTGATAAAGTGACTGTGTGTTTTGTGCTGCGATATATATATATATATATATATATACCTCCAACATCCAGAACGCGACCATTTTCCTCATATAGGGTTCGATTTCCCTTTGGACACATTTGAAGTACGAGGTCCGGGGGGTGTAGCGGTCCTCCACCTGTAGCATATTCTGCATCACCCGGTGGTCCAACAGCAGTTTGGGGTCCGGGAACGCGCGCTGCACCTTAGGGGCGTTCTCCATACACAGCAGCTCCATAGCCGCACAGTGCCCGAGTGCGAGTGAGAGGGACTGAGTGAGTGAGGGAGAGAGACACAGAGCTCTGACTGATCCCCTCCTCTCTCTCCTCCCACTCTCTCTCACTCTCTCCCTCTCTCTCTCTCTCTGTGGGTAACTGGGTCTCAGCGCCCGCGGTACACACTCACTCACTCACTCACACACACTCACACACACAGCACTGGGCTCACACTCACACTCTCACACACAGATACACTCTCACATTCACTCACTCACTCACTCAGATACTCTCACACTCACTCACACACACACTCACACACAGATACATTCTCACACTCACTCACTCAGATACTCTCACACTCACACACACACACAGCACTGGGCTCACACTCACACTCTCACAGATACTCTCACACTCACACAGATACTCTCACACTCACACAGATACTCTCTCACACACTCACACACATACACTTACACTCTCTCAGATACTCTCACACACAGATACACAGCACTGGGCTCACTCTCACACTCACAGATACTCTCACACTCACAGATACTCACACACTCTCACAGATAGTCTCTCACACTCACACACACTCACAGATACTCTCCCACACTCACACACACTCACAGATACTCTCACACACTCACACTCACAGATACTCTCACACATTCACACACACTCACAGATACTCTCACACACTCACACACTCATAGATACTCTCTCACACTCACAGATACTCTCTCACACTCCCACACTCTCACAGATACTCTCACACACTCACACTCTCACAGATACTCTCACACACTCACACACTCTCACAGATACTCTCACACACTCACACTCTCACAGATACTCACACACTCACACACTCACAGATACTCACATACTCACACAGATACACTCACACTCACACACTCACAGATACTCTCTCACACTCACAGATACTCTCTCACACACTCACAGCACTGGGCTCACACACACAGATACACTCTCACACACTCACAGATACTCTCTCACACTCTCACAGATACTCTCACACTCTCACACTCTCACAGCTCTGGGCTCACACTCACACACAGCACTGGGCTCACACTCACACACAGCACTGGGCTCACACACACACACAGATACACTCACACACAGATACTCTCACACACTCACACTCTCACACACAGATACTCTCTCACACACTCACACTCTCACAGATACTCTCTCACACTCACACACACACAGCACTGGGTACAGATACACACACACTCACACACACAGCACTGGGCTCACACTCACACACACACAGATACACAGCACTGGGCTCACACTCACACACACACAGATACACAGCACTGGGCTCACACTCACACACACAGATACAGCACTGGGCTCACACTCACACACCACTGGGCTCACACTCACACACACATAGATACACAGCACTGGGCTCACACACACAGCACTGGGCTCACACTCACACACACACAGATACACAGCACTGGGCTCACACTCACACACACACACAGTTACACAGCACTGGGCTCACACACACACACACAGCACTGGGCTCACACTCACACACACACACAGCACTGGGCTCACACTCACACACAGCACTGGGCTCACACTCACACACACACACAGCACTGGGCTCACACTCACACACAGCACTGGGCTCATACTCACAACACTGGGCTCACACTCACAACACGGCTCACGCTCACAACACTGGGCTCACACTCACAACACTGGGCTCACACTCACAACACTGGGCTCACACTCACAACACTGGGCTCACACTCACAACACTGGACTCACACGGCTCACGCTCACAACACTGGGCTCACACTCACACAGCACTGGGCTCACACTCACATAGCACTGGGCTCACACTCACACAGCACTGGGCTCAAATACACACACACACACAGCACTGGGCTCACACACACATAGGCTCACACACACAACAACAACAACAACTTGCGTTTACACAGCGCCCTCCACGCAGGGTAGCGTCTCAGAGCGCGTAAGGCTCACTCGCACACAGCGCGAGGCTCACACAAACACAAACACAGACACACACACACACACACGGGGTACACACAGGGCACTGGGCTCACACACACACACACACACGCGCGCACACACACAGAGCACGGGTTCACCAACCCGAGCATTTGATATAACGCCTTATCACGTCTTCGAGACGTCTCCAAGCGCTTCACAGGATACGCTGGAACGCGTGCGTACGTCGTGGGCGAAACGCGGCCGCCAACTGGGCACAGCCTTACCCCACGGACAGTCGCGGATTGAAGTGACCCGATTATTATCTTTAAGGTCAAAAGTGATGCTAACTTTACATTGCTGTCCTTACTGCCTGTCCAGTGCCTTGGGGGTGGCGGCAGAAGAAGGATAATAATAATAATAATAATGATAATGATAATGAT